CATTTTAAAAATAAAATTTTCTGAAATTAAAAAAATAAAAAAATATAATCGGGGAACACCAGTTCTTTTAATTTTTTTTTTTTTTTTGGATCCTTTTTTTTAATTGTTTTTAATTGTTTTTTATTTATAACAGTAGTAATACATTATTAAACAAAATAATGTGAAAAATCTATGATGAGTTTAGCAATAAATAATAAAATTGGGTTCCATACAATTAGATGTCTAATGGAGTCTAATAAAGTTGCCCATATTCCTGAATTACTTTGCCATGGATTCTCTGAAGTTGTTTTGATGTCAACTAAAGTAATAGAAAAAAAAAAAATATTGTGTTAATATTTTTATTACATAATCAATTCATCATACATGCGCTTTTTCAAAAATTTTTTATTTTTTTTAAAAAATAAAAATTAAAAAAAACATGAATCTGCAAAAATCATTCACCATAATTTGGGATTTCATACCTTTTTCATTACAATGAGGACAAGAATTTTTTTTTCCCACCAAAAGCCAACCTCTGATACACCATTCGTGAAACCTATTTGTAAAAAATAAAATAAAAAATTTACAATGTAATTTTTTTTTTTTTTGTGCAAGGTTAATTTAAAATTAGAATTATAATTATATTGAAATAAATAAATTATTAATTATATTTTATAGAGTTAGTTTTGTATATGATTTAAATTTTACATACATATGGCCACATGAAAGTTTTTTTGGTTTTTCGCTAAAAATTGCATTCATTATTTTATCTAATCTTTTTTCGATTTTTTCGCTTTCATCTTTTTTATTTGTGGTGCTGTTTTCTTTATTTTCTGTAATATCGCTAATTAATAAACTCTTATTTGATGCATCGCTTCCTACTGGTTTTAAGTTTGTTGAACAGATAGCACAATAGTTATCAGGAATTTTTGTGAATGGTAATGTTGAACCACCCAACTATATTTATTAGATTATTTATGATTATATTTATTATTATTGTTATTATTGAATTTTAAAGAATAAAATTAGTATAGTAAATATTTTAAATTTTAAATTTTATAGTTTTTACATACACCTAAAACTATAGCAATTCTATCAGAACAAACTTCGGCAACATCTCTACCAAGTAAACCAATATATAATGAATAAAACAATATGGTTAAAATTGAATCGAATTGAAGTACTTTTAGACCAAATGCATATAACACTATGGCGAAACCAGTTAAAATTGAAACTATAAAGCTAATTAAATAGAGTGAATAGAACCACATGAAAATGATTTTTGGTGTTTTTCTAGAAAGTGGTTGTCTTGTTGAAATGTAGAATAGATATCCCAACATACTGCTAAATATTATCGAAAATATAATGAATCTAATGAAACCTGAATAAATAGAATATAAAATTGGGAATACCCAAAGACCAACTAAAGTGACTTTTATAAATGATTTTGAATAGTTTGTTTTCCATATAAATAAACCAACTTGAAGTGCAACTATTAAAATAATAATTAACATAAATACAAGTGCATCAAATTCTTCATGGCCTGGATTGTCATGTCCTAGGAGGGTTTTCGTGGTTTACGCGGTTTGCATGTGGTGTTGTGCTGATGCTTTATTATATCTTGTTGTTGCTGATTGATGATTAGCTTCCATTCTTAAAAATAATAGTGGTAGCGCTATACACGATGTTAATTATATTATCGTGATTAATATTAATTATATTTGTTAAATACAATGCTATTATTAATAATCGTGTAAAAATTTTTAATTATTATTTTTTTTTTTGAAAATATAAATTTTTCAAAAACGAAAAATAAAAAAAATAAAAAAAATTAATTTAATAGAATTTAATTTAAAACAATATATAAATGATAAATAATAAATAAATAAATTAATAATGAGATATTAACTGTTTTATTTCTATTTTAAAATTTTATTGAAACTATTAAAAATAATTAATTTTTTTAATTTTAATATATTTTTATAAAATTAAAATGAATATTTTAAAAAAAAAAATTAAAAAAAAAATAAAATTTTTAAAAAATCTGTTGTTTTTTCCCAAAGACACACAATTTCACACACACAATATATTTATTTGATAATATATACATATTTGTTTTGTTTTTTTATTTTATAATATTTCACTTTATAATAGAATAAAAACTTAAAAATTTATTTATATTATCAATAATGAATATCTCACCAGATATAAAAGATAATGAAAATATTTATATTTCATTGAATAATAATAATAATAATAGTAACAATACTATTAATAGTAGTAACAATGTTGATCAAGATTCACCAGATATGTATGGTATCGAAAGGGGCAGTGTATTAGGTGATAGTGGTACATTGGTCGATAGAGGTAATAAGGAGAAAGTAGAGATGATAAAGTTATTAAGTGGTGATGGTTATAGCGGTGAAGATGAATATGACTCGCCAGAATTAAATAGCAAAAGTGATATTATCGATATCCAAACCGAAGGTGGTATCTCAGAAACCTTGGGTTCCAAAATGACAGAGGAGCAAGAGGAGTCATTATCTTATTATATTATGTTATCACATTTTATAACAAGAATGGGAGGTAAGTGGTGGTTATTGTTTTTATATTCTAAATTTATGTTATATTAATATATTTTTTTTTATAACTATTTAGACAGAGGATGGGAGTTTATTGTACCGCTTTTCTTAATATTTCTTTCACCCAAATCATTAATACCAGTTTCATTATTTGGTCTTTCAACAACATTGGTTAGAATTTTCTTTGGTACAACAATTGGTAATATGGCAGATAAATATAAAAAGCTTCAAAGTAAGTATTTATTAAAATAGGTTTGTTTAAATCCTTCCAATTTACTAATCGGTTTTATAGTTATTAAGTTAGGTGTTACAGGTCAAGCAGTTTCCATTGGATCATCTTGCATATTTCTATATTTACTTTTTAAAATTAACAATGCATCATTAGAAAGCCAAAAGGAAAATGGAACCAATGTATTGTTTGACGACAATACATCAGTCACATTATTTTGCCTTTTATTATTTTCATCAGCATTGCACTCTTTATCAGGCCAGTTAATGGATATTTCAGTTGAAAGAGTAATTTTCTTAGTGGTTGTTATTACTATTGTAGTTAGGTATTAATTAATTTTTTTTTAATAATTTAGAAATGGACCCCATCATTTATTAAACATGATACTGTTTTAACTAGAGTAAATACTAGAATGAGACAAATTGATTTAAGTACAGAGGTATGGAATTATAGTATAGTATTATAAAGCAATCATTCAAATATTAACATTCTTTGTATCAGGTATTAGCACCATTTTTAGCAGGTTTAATTACAAATCGTGAAAATCCAAATTCATTTTTATTAATTGGATTATTCAATTTCGTATCATTCTTTCCGCAGTATATTTTGTTAAAGATTGTATACGACAAAGTTTCACCACTTGGATTAAAGGTTGATGATAAATCTCAAATCGACTTTACCGATGGTTTGGACCTTAGCAATATTACAACCGAGTTTAAGGATCTTCGTAACAAGTCTCTAAAAGAAATTGTATTGGGTGAGTGGAATCCATTGACCAATATTATTGTAGGATGGAGATTATTCTATCAACAAAACGTATTTTTAATAATGGTAGCATACATCTTGCTATGGTTCACCGTTTTAAGTCCACACGATTCTATCTTAACTGCCTATCTTTCAAATAATGGTTACAGCGACCCTGAGTTGGGTTTGTTCAGAGGTTTGGGTGCCGTTTTTGGTTTGGGCAGCACTTTACTATTTGGTAGGGTAGTTAAATTACTTGGCAATATTACCAATGCAGCATTAGGTTACATTTTAGAAGAGGGAATATTGGTTCTTTTGGCCGGTTTCTTTTTTTCTAGTATTAGTGACACAAAATATGTATTCATGCTATCTATTATTTTCTCGAGATGTGGCCTCTACGGATTTGAGCTTACAGAGATCCATTTCGTTCAAAGACAAGTTCCCGATAATATTAGAGGTGTAGTCAGTGGTGTTGAAAGTTCTCTCTGTAGTTTAGCAACTCTTTCAGTTTTCGTTGTCAGCATCATCATTAATTCAATCGATCAATTTTATATTCTAGTTTGGGGTTCAATTTTATTTGTAAATTTAGGTTGGATTTCAATAGTTTTATGGAGAATTAAAAATAAGGTTTAAGTTTTAACAATAGTAATAGTAGTAGTAATAGTTTTAGAAATAGTAATAGTAAAAGTAGCAGTAATATTAATATTAATTTTAGAGAAAAAAAAAAAATAGTAGTAGTAATGTTAACAGTAATAATGTTAATAAATAATAAATAACAATAAATTATAATAGTATAGTAGTATAATAGTATAGTAGTATAGTAGTATAGTAGTATTAGTAGAAATGATTTTATAGTTATATTGCAATAACTATAGTAGTAATTTTTTTATTTTTAGAATAATAGTTATAATTGTAATTAGGATATGTTGGTGTTTATTAATAGGATAGAAATAATAAGCAGCATATTAAATATAGGAGTTATAGTTAAAATAGAACAAAACAAATCTTTTAAAAAAATAAAAAATAAATAAGTAAATGGTAGTTTTAGATTGAAACATTTGGTTTAAATTATTCTACATTTTTATTTTTTTTTTAATAGTTTTTTGAAAATGATTTATAAATTTATACTATAAATTTATAATGAAAAATTATATTGTGTTTGGTAGTTTTATTATTTGATGTGTGATTTAGTTAATGAAACCTTCTTCAACACCTTCAAGGAGATGTTTTAATTTGACTGATGCTAAATTTGTCATTTCTTTAAGGTCAAAAATCTTTAAATCTGAATTTGCTTGTGATAATAAAAATGAAAGTTGTTCAGTTGTTTTTTCTAAATCGTTTTGAAGGTATTCGAAAAGATTCTTTTCTGTGCCCTCACCCATATAATAACCATATACATAAGTGTATTTGAGGGTACGACGACACTGAATAAGAATTTCAGTTGAGGTTTCTACGAATTTAATATCAATCCAACGTTTATCAGTTTTATTTTGGAATGATACAATGGTTTCAATTGCAGTTTGACGAAGTTTGGTTTCAAATTTCTTACTTTGTTCGTGAGTATTATAACGATGGAAATAAAAGAGGTATCTTTCTAAATTTTTCTTTAATTCTGATTTATTTGAATTTTCTTCTTTCTTGTAGCTATTACAATTTGAATGTCCTATCCAATTACCTAAACAAATCCAACAAAACTCGTGTTTACCTATAGTTTAAATTTTTAATTTAATATTAATTTTAATGTTTTTTTTTTTTTTAATGTTTAATTTATTATACCAACATTTTTTACCTAATAGTATTTGAATTTTAAAATTAATAAATTAGTATGTGTATAATGAAAAAAGGTTTATATATTATATTGTTTTAAACATACATGTCATATGATTGCAACCACCATTCTTTTCAATAGCAGATTGGCATTTTGGACAATCTTGTGTATTTGATGAGATCCAATTGGCTGTTTCTGAATCATCTTCACACTTCTTTTTCCAGTTTTTCATTTGTTCGCAATCAGCTGGAAAATGAGATTCTTGTTTACATCTGAAGCAAATCTTAAAACCGCAAGAGCATTGAGCAGTTGATTCTGATTGGCTATCAGCCTTTAAAGCATTACCACAACCAACAGCTGGGCACCATCTCATATTTGGGTTTTGGTCTACATAGGTTTGAGCCAAACGTTCTAAATATTTATTGTAGAGATTTGGTGCAACTTTATGAATAAACTCATCTGGAATAACACTTGGGCACTTTACACCCATGCATGGAATACTTGTGGCACCACCTTCTAAAAGTTTAATTAAAAGGTATTGATTCCAACAATCATCACACGAATAATGTTTACAAGAAAGATAGCTGCAATTATTACTATCTAAATCATCTGCACATACACTACACATTTGTCCTGGTACTGATGTTTTTGTAAAAAACTGATCTATTTTTTTAATACCTGCAGCTGAAACAACTCTTTCTGGATCCTCATAATATCTTTCTAATAATTTGTTTGGGTTCCATCTATTGTTTAATTTAAAACAAAAAATTAAAATCAAATTTATTTTGTATTGAAAAAATTAGGTGGTGTGGTAAAAAGTTAAAAAAAAAAAACAATTGTGGTTATTGGTAATTGGGGGTTTTTTGTGTGTGGTTATTATAATAAATTAATATATAGCAATTATAGTTTTTTTAATACTTACTGGAAATAACATAATAATAAAGTTGCAGCGGATGGTGTTGTTTCTGTGATTGAGGAAATATTGTTAATTTCTGCGAGTGCAGTATTTATAATATCTTTTGATTGGATAACAGTGTTTGCTTTTGGGAAAGCATCGACTAGGGCAATATCAAATTCATAATCGTCTACATCTTGATAATATTCTTCTTCTGAATCTTCTTGATCTTCATAGCAATCATCTGAGCCAGCACTAACAGTAATTGAACTCTTTAATCTCTTTGATGATGAGGTTGAAATTTGTCTTTTTGGTTTGGTTGGTGTATTTAATTGTTGGGTTGGTTGACTTGTTAGTGGTGTTGGTTCAGTTATAACCTCTTTCTTATCAAGACTCCCCTCACCAAAATTCTTGTATATATAATCGATTGCTACATTTAAATCGCCATAGCTAGTTTGCTCCAACGCTACCTGTGCTACAACTGGATCATACCCATATTCGACTAAAGTGGCAAGTTTTGAATCCTTATCCATTATTATTATTTTTCGTGTATTTATATTATATTAAAAATTAAAACAAAATATTTGCTATTATTAATTTTTATTTTTTTTTTTTTTTTGAAATTTTTTGGAATGTAAAAAATAACTTTAAAAAAAGAAAAAATAAAATTTAATTTTTAAAAAATTAAAAAAAAAATATTTATAAAAAAATTAAAAAAAAATAAATTAAAATAAATAAAAAAAAAATAGAAAATTAAATAAAAATAAATAAAGATATTTGTTTAGCTCGCCTATTTTGTTGATAATTTATTATTATTTATTATTATTTATAATATTATTATTATTGTTTTTATTTTTATTATTTTTGGTTTTATGAAATTTTATTTAATGGTTTACCCATAAAGAAACATTTCGATAATTTCGATGGATGATAAGTTTTAATTGTATTTTGAATTAAGTGGATTGTTGGTAAAAAGAAAGTTGATAAATTTGTTGGTTTTATTTTAATGGTAAAATAAGTGATCTCTAAAGATAATTGAGCGGATATTCTGGTTATTGGTGAGGTTGATGATTGACTGAGGTTTCTCTTGTGGTATGATCCTAATGTTGATATATTAGTTGAATTTGAGACAACACCACCGCCAGTGCTGCCAATTAAAGTACCACTTAAATTTCTAGAGTGTTGAATAATAACTGGTGATGAAATTGATGTTGATGAACTATTATTTGTATTGGTTGTTGATGGAGAGTTAATTAAACTACCACTACCATCGTTATTTAATTGTTGGTCAACCTGTTGTTGTTGTTGTTGTTTATCCTTATCCTGTTGTTGCTGTTGATCAATAGAGTCGACAATAATATTTGGGTTATTTTTAAAATTATCCATATCCTTCTTTTTATATTCGAAAATAACACCACCTGGTAAATATCTTTTATCAATTGAAAATATTAGCAAATTGAATAATGGGAAAGTATTTAAAAAGTGTAATAGTAGTGCAAAAATTCCCTTTACAATGCTAACACCAGCTTTGAATACGGCAAAGAATAAGTAATAAATAGCAGTAGTTGGGAACAAGAAAAAGATTAAAGTGAACAACAATGTACCCAATAATAATTGATATACATCGAAATCGCAATGATCAATTCTTTTCCTAAGAGGATTAAATTTAACACCTCTAAACAAGTTCCACAATGAATTTAGCAGTAATAGTTGTAATAAATAAAATCTTGCTGATACACTATAAAATACTGAAATATGTAATGTGAAAATATAAAATAAGTCAATTACAACACTAATTAAAAATGATAAGCCCATAATACCACTTAAACAAATGATTTGTAAAAACAATTGACCATGAGGTGAAATTGCTGCTGTTATCACTGTATTTAATTAAAAGAAAATCGAAAGATTATATTAGTATTATCACTAATGATTACTGGTAAATAATTAATGAATAGCTTACAATTCCATTTATCAATATAATACAATACTAATCTACCAAAGAATTTATCTAAATTTTCATTTAATTTGAAACCACCTGGCCATCCCATTAACCATAAAATTAAAGACTTTAATAAATCATTATTTAAAAAAAAGTTTAACTTTCCAATTAAAAACAAAACACGGTCACTAAAGAAATTTAATAATAATCCTGCTGCGATACCTAGTAATATATCATTAAATATTAACCATGCACTATTATGAAATCTATTTTTAGAAGAAAAAATAAAAAAATAGACTATTAATAAATTGATACTAAAAGATATACAACCAATAAACTTACTCTATATAGGATGATCTGTCATCATTATTGTTTATCCAATAGGTTTTCTTTTTTAAATGGTTCCACTGTTTTGAGAGCTGTTTAACTTGAAAGATTCTATTATCTAAATGAGTACCTAGTGTTGTCATATCTTTTAATCGTCCTCCCTTATAAAGTGGTGCCGGTATATACAATATCTTTTCTATTAATCTTGAAAATACTTGAACAAACCATATAAAGAAATATAATGGACTTAATAATATATCTTTAATTGACTTTTTATTATCACCATTGCTATTATTTGTGCTATTACTATTATTACTATCATTTGGTTTTGATGATTGTTGAATTAATGATTGAGTATTATCTTGTTGTTTTCTACTGTTTTTTCTAAATCTTAAAGTGAATAAGGTTTTAGAAAAGAATGATTGATTTTCACTATCGGTATCTGACTGTGAGTCATTTTTTTGATCTAATTTTTGCTTTTGTTGCTCCTCTTTCTTCTTTTGTTGTTCTATTCTTTGTTTATATTGGAAATGTTTTTGAATAGCCTCATGTAGTATTGTTTTAATGTCATGTGAACAATTGATTTGTTTAAATGTTGATTCTAATTCAGAGCCAATTTGATGCTTTTTTGATGTTGGTGAGGATGGTGCAGTTGAAGATGAGGATGGTGAAAAAACAGAGTTATTGGATTTCAATAGCTTATTTGATTGATTATTATTTGTAGTTTTTGAAACAAGTGATAACATTGATTCGAATTTAATTGGTATTGATGTATAGTAGTATGGTGGTGTGTCATCATACAATACGATTTGTGATGACGTTTGAATTTTGTATTCATTACAATATATTTTACGTAAATATGGATCTCCAGATTCAGTTCTTTCCATTGATATCCAAATATCTAGCTCGTGCAAATTATTTGGTGGTGAAGGAATAACTGTTTTATCTTTACCAATCCACTCACCCAAAATCTTGGGTGAGTATCCTAATGGGCAATTTAACATCCTACGATCGAAAGACATTTTATTTAAAATAATCTCCAACTCTTTTAACTAGAATAAAAACACATATTAGTATTATGTATTAAAAATTTTATGTTTATCTTTGTCACAATACATACTGGTACATCGGTTACTATATCCACAACACACACTACAAAACTACGTGTATTTAAACCTATTAGATAACCAGATTTTTGATCGATACACCTTATTGGCCAAAATATTTTGGTATATGGTTTGTTTTGCTGTGCTGGGGTAGCTTTAGAAAATGAGGTTGATGCTGTTGACGATGACATATTCCCGACTCCTGCTGTTGATGGTGTTGTATTTATCCCCGCTGATGTTGACATCAAAATTGGTGTTGTGGGATTACTCGACGCCATTCTATAACAATTAAGCTATATATAAATATATATATAAGCCTATATAAATAAATAATAAAAAAACAAAACCAAAAAGATTCCTTATATAAAAAGTGAAGATTTTAATTGTAAAAATGAAAATAAAAATTTTAAAAAATGAAAAAAAAAATAAAAAAATAATTTTTTGATTTTTTTAATTTTTTTTTTATTTATTTTTTTATTTTAATTTATTTTAATTTATTTTATTATTTTTAATTTATTTTTTTATTTTTATTGTTTTATTTTTATTGTTTTTTTCTTTATATTATATTAATAAATACAAATAATACCCAAATATAAATATATATTTATTCTTCTAAAAAGAATTTTATTTTATAATTTTTTAAATTAAAAAAAATTTTTAATTAAAAAATTTTTTTTTTTAAAAATACAATAATAATAAAATAACACACATGTATATATGGAATATAAATTACTATTTTTTTTAATATTTGTGTTTGTTAACATCTATTATATCTATAATGATGATCACTCAGTTGCTAAATCAATTATAAATATATTCAATAATAACAATGCAAACTCTATTATAAATAATATAGACACCGTCATTCGTGATGGTGATTTAGATGAATTTTCAATAGAAGAATTAAAAAAGATATCCATTTTCAAAAACTATCCAACAAAACTAAAAGAAATCGAACAAAATAAAAAACAAGAACTTGAACAATTAAACCATCTTAAAGAAATATACAGCACATATGGAACCTATACTAAACTCTCAATAATAGTTTTCGGCAGCTTTTCAATTTTTTTTTTTCTCAAATACAAAAAAATAGTGGATCAGTCATACAACAAAGCAAATAAAGACATTGAAGAAGAAATTAAAAAAATTCAAGATAATAAAAACTCGATTATTGTTGATGAACCACTTTTACAACTAAATGAACTCGAATCAAACAAGACCTCCGATGCAAAAGTATTATTCATTCTACTACACTCATTTAAATCAGACAATACTATTCAATATAACCTCAATGAAAATGACAATAACAATGATAAACTTTTAATGTATAAAACCAAGGCCCAAGAAATTGAAAATAAAATAAAAGAAAAAATTAAAATGGAAAAAATAATGAAAAATTCCTTATCAAATACAAGTAAGCTTTTAATAGCAGGGCCAACAGAAAATAATAGTGACAACAATGATAACCCAGGAACGAATCCAAGTGAAGAACCTCAATCATCCCCAGAAACATTACCCAGTAATATTAATAATAATATTAATGATGTCGATAACGACGGGCCAGATAATACCGAGGGAAGTGACCTTGAAAAGGAAATCGGCACCAATAGTTCAAAAAGCAATGATAAACCAAAAAATATAAAGAAAAACCAAGGTGCAAATATTAGATTTAAACAAGACTCATTTAAACAAGATAAACAAGTGAAAAAAGTTTTTTTAGAGTACCATAAGGAAATTGCTGTATATGAATATAAAAGATTTAAAGAACTATGGGACGAAGCAAACAAGGAGGCAAAAGAAATCAAAAGAAAGGCTGAAGAAAAACTAAAGGAAAATAAAGAAAAGAAAAAAGCTGAAGAAAAAAAGGAAAAGGAGAGACAGGAAGAAAAAGATGAAATCAGTGCCACCAAATATTATTCACTTTTAATTAAATTTATATTAATATTAAACATATTGCCAGAACTCTTAAAGCTAATCAAGCACCACTTTTACTCACTACTCCCAACCATAACCTGCTTAAACTTAAATGAATACTTCAAAGTAACAACCAACGACACAAATAGACTATTAGCACCTCTAGATGTAAAATATTATTTCAAAATAGCTATAAATCAAATATTTGGTAGCATCTCAGCCAACTCCAAAGGCATATTTACCAGCAATCTATTGGACTGTATTCCAACATCAGCCCAGTTCAACTGGAGTTTATGGCTCGTTACCATTATCTACATCGTGCTCATCATTGTATCGTTACAATTCCAACCCAATTTCTATATATCATCGACTATATTCCTTTCAATAGTGATATCCACCTATCAAATCAACTATAGAAGCAGTGATATAAACTATTACCTATTTCAATTTATAGTCAATTTATCAATAGTATATTTCATAAAAAAGTATCACCAGCAAACCAAACAATTTAAATATATCTTTGTTTTCAGAGTTTTTATAATATTATTCATAATCCTATTCAATACTACATACTCCAAATATTTTTTAGAAAATAAAAACCTTATTATAGTTAGATAAATAATCCAATGTTTTGTTTTGTTTTTTTTTTTTTTTTTTCTAAAAAATGTTTTTTATTTTTTTTTTTAAAAAAAGCATATGCAAAATTATTTATATTGATTACTATTATTGTTTATTGTTTTGTTTTATATTTTTTTTATTTTTGAAATGTACCATTATATTTTTCATAAGTTATATGTTTTTTACCAAATTTACCCAATTTCTTTTCACCTTCGACGAATGGTACTTCTTTGACTTGAACAGTAACATGACAACGTGGTTTACGAACAACACCAGCATGACCTCTACCTTGGAAGAGATATGATTTAACATAAAATGCATGACCTAACCAAATTTGATTTACAATTAAACGATCTGGATCCATATTCTTTTTAGTTTCTGCAATGTGAGCTGCTTGTTGAATTAAACCTCTAATAATTTTTGATGGCTTTTTAGTACAGAATGATAATTGGGCAATAGCCTCTTTATAACTGAGACCTCTAATTGCTTTGAATAATGCTTGTAATTTCCATTGACTGTATGTTAATTTCTTTAATGTGATTGTGACTGTATTTTCATTATTATTAATATCGATTTTAATGGTTTTTTCTTTTTTGTCCTCTTTTTCTTCTAAAAGTTTTTTTTGTTCAATTTCTTGAGTAGTTTTAATAGCTTGTGAAAAAATATTTGAAGTTGAGTTATTTCTAATATTTAATGTATTGTTTTTGTCTTCAAATAACTTGTTATTACTAATTGTAACAAATCCTCTGTTATTATTACCAAAAACTCTTGGTGCTATATATAATTTATTGGTTGTGTTTCTTAATGAAACATTTGAAATTGATCTAATTAAATGATTCATTTTTACTATTATTTTATAATTGATTATTAAAAAATTATAAAAAAAAATGATAATAATAAAAATGATTGATTTATAAAAAAAAATTTAAAAATTTTAAAAAAAAAAAAAAAAAAAAAAAAAAAAAATGAAAAACGAAAAATTTTTTAAAAAAAAAAATTTATTTTTTTAAAAAATAAAAAACAAAAACTTAAACAAATAATTTGATCAAATAAACACACCCCACCCACTTATTTATCTTTTTTTCAAATATTTATTTAAAGTTAAAAAAAATAACAAAAATAATAGTCAATAGAAAAATTTAGATAATTGTAAATCTTTTCAAATAAATATAAACTTTTTTTGTTTTTATACAACCACCACATGAAAAACAGTTTCTATATTCAACCTCACTATTAAAATAAAATAAAAAAAAAGTTAATTTTAATTATACAATTGGTAAATGAAAAAAAAAAAATTAAAAATGAAAAATGAAATATGGAATATGAAAAATGAAAATTAAAACAAAAATTTCATTTTTTTTTTTTTTTAATAAACAACTTTTTAACCAATTTTATTTTTTTATCGTTTTAACCCACTTTTTATTTTATTGATAACATTTGCAATGGTGGCATTACTATTAATTTGTTTGAATTATCGCACAATCTAGATCATATATGATCATATTTTAAATAATGATGGTGATAATTAAACCCACTTTTGGAACGAAAAATGTGGGTGTTTCAGATCATCTAGATTTTGTTCAGAAAAAAAAAAAAATAAAAAAAATAAAAAAAATAAAAAAAGATATTTTCATCAAATAAATCAAGAAAACTATAACCAAATATTAATAAATAATATTTAGAAATAATTATTTAATATAATAATTAAAATTGGGAATATTATATTAATTTTTAGTGTGCAAAGAAAAAAAAAAAGTTGTATAATAATATCATTAATTTTATTGGTTTTAATTAGTTTTCATAAGAAAAAAAAAAGTTTGAGTTAATTTAATATCCAAAAAGAAAAAAATTTTGTTTTTAAAATAAAATACAGTATTGGATTTTTTTCTATTGTGTTTACACCCAACCCTTAAAAAAAAAAACCATTTTTATGAAAAAAAAAAAAAAAAAAAGCCATTAATTTTAATTTTTTTAATTTTTTTTTAATTTTTTTTTTTTTTTTTTTTTTGATTTTTTTTTTTTTCATAAAATTTAATATTTTTTTTCTTTTATTTTTTTTCTTTAATCAATTTGTAAAATATAATTTTTTTTTTTATTTATTCAATAAATATATATATATAACTTAATAAAAATGTCAGCTTCAGTTAAATGTGGTATCTGTAATAAAACTGCCTATCCATTAGAATCAGTCGTTCCAGGTAACGGTAATACCTACCACAAGGGTTGTTTCAAATGTAAGAATTATTAATAAAAAAAATAAAAAAATTAAAGAAATATTTTCAAATCATCCCACAATAAAAAAAATAAATCATATGAAATAATGAATAATCAATGAATAATGAAAAAAAAAAAAAAAATTAAATCAAATATTATCATAATCAAATCACATATATAATCAAATATATTAAACAAATATGAAATACAAAAGAAATATCCTAATATTTAAATAAATTTTATAAAAAAAAGGCTCCACCTGCTCTGCTACCCTCAATGTTAAAAACTTCAAATCATTCGAAGGTAAACTTTACTGCCCAGTCCACACTCCAAAAGTTTCAGCTACCGCTGTTACTGATTCAGTTGCCCTTAAAAACGCTCTTAATGCCCCAAAGAAAACCGCTGAATCACTCGGTAATGTCCAAAAAGGTTCAGGTGAAAAACCATCAGTTGGTTTAGACTCAATGGCCACCAGAAACGCCCTCAATGCTCCAAAGAAAACCGCTGAATCACTCGGTACCGTCCAAAAAGGTTTAGGTGGTAAACCAACCGTCGCCGTTTTTGGTGCTGATAACCAATCAGGTACTGGTTACGAACAACAAGAACAATATGAAGAACAAGCTTATGAACAACAAGAAGAACAACAACAATATGACGAACAACAATACCAACAAGAAGGTGAATACCAACAAGAAGGCGAATACCAACAAGAAGGTGAATACCAACAAGAAGGTGAATACCAACAAGAATACCAAGAAGGTGAATACTACGAAGAACAACAATAAAAACTTTATATATCTTTCATTGTATTTATAAATAGTATTTAAATAAAAAAATATAGTAATAAAACCCCTTTTGTTAAATTATTTATATTAAAATTAAATAAAAATCATTTTACTTTGTAAATTTAAAAATAAAAAAACAACCAATCAAGTCTTCCTTACCATAATTTCTTTTTTTTTTATTTTTTTTTTCATAACTTAACAATCATTAAATGATAATTAAATTCATATAACCAAAACTATTTTTTTTTTTTTTTTTTTTTAATATTTTTTTTTTTATTAGGGGATGTTTATATTTATATTTATTAATTTTATTTAAAAATTATAACTTATTATTTTATTTACCATTTTATTTATTTATTTAAATAAAATTTAATTATAATTTTTAATACCAATTTTTTATATCATTAAATAAATTATTACATATTATCCAATTTTCCCTCTTAAAATAAAATATTTTAAAAATTTTTTTTTTTTTTTTTTTTTTTAAATTTTTAAAAAATTCATAAAATAATCTCTTTATTTTTTGTAATCAGATAGTAAAACAATATATGTATATATGAATTATATTTATATGGGTTAAAAATAATTATTATATTTTCTTTTTTTTTTTTTTAAATAATAAAATTAAAAAATAAAAAAAAAAAAAAATAAAAAAAAAATAAAATATAAAATGGCTACAGTAAATAATAATAAAAGAAATTCCCCATTTAAAAGAAGGCCTGCAACATTCATGGTTAGTTCAGTTCCTAAGGTTGCATTTAATTTTAAAAAGAGAAAAGATATAAATAAATTGGAAGTAAACAATGAAACTCCAATAACAACAGCAATATTAGAAATAACGAATAATAATAATAATAATAATAATATTAATAATATTAATAAGGAAACACCCTCCTCACCAACACTAAACCAGCTTAAAGATCTTTCAATTAATGATACCTGTACAGATTCACCAAAATCATTAGAGGAAACAACATCTATATCAGCATCGACATCAACACCAACAACAATACTGGCCTCAGCATCAATAGAGGCAAAAACCAATTTAAATGAATTATCACAAGGCTCAAATCTAGTATCATCAATTTCAACATTACATTTATCAAATGAAAGTGATAAGCTGCTTAAAACACCATCATCAGCAAATAGTAGTGGTAATGGTAAAACACCAAAAACAATTAAAAGAGTTAAATATGCCGATGAGGTTAATCAAGATTCAAACAATGAAAAGAATCAACTTGTAAATATATATCATATTAATAATAACGAAGATCAAAATGAAATCAGGGATAGTAACAATTACAACAATAATGGTAACAATAACAACCATGACAATAATAATAACAATGAATCAATACCAAGAACACCAAGTAAAAATCCAGAAAAAATTCCAACATCGAGAGAATCAACACAAAGAATTGCAATTTTAAAAAATATATTATTAGAAAAATTAAAAAACACACCACCACATCTTAAAAAACATGTTAGAGAAATCAATAAGCTATTTTTACTTCAAGTTGCCAAAATACCAATACCAAAGCAAGATCAACAACAAGCAATAACAAAAAGACAGATTTTGGAACAGGAGCAATTATCAATAATAAATAAAGCAAAAAATAATTTTAATAATAATAGTACAGTTGATGATAGTTTAAATAGTAGTAATGGCAATAATCCGAATAGTGATGTCAATAATAGTAATAATAAAATTTCCATACCACCCAATATTGGCAATTTAAAAAATTTAGAACTTTTAATTAGAATCGATACATTAAAAAATTTAATAGAAAAATGGTCAAATGAAGAAAAGCATTGGAAAACACTATTAAAAGAATATTCATCAAGTGGCAAGGAGGGCATAATACTGCAAACACCATCCAGAACTAAGCTAGCAGCAACTTCAAATGTACACTCATCACATAAAAAACAAATAACAACAAATAAATCAAAAAATAATCAAAAAGATAATACCAATAATACCAATAATGGTTTAATGGTTTTGAATAATACAAATGATATAAATAATATCAATGCTAATAATAATAGCAATAACACGACAGGTCTAAATGATGTTAGAATGAAACAAATCACAGATAATATTTCAAAACTTTCGATTCAGGTATGTAAAAAAATTAGATTATTTATTTTAATATTCATATTTGGTAGTTTGAGGGTATCAAGTATTATTATTCAATAATCTTTTATTAACTTTTTTTTTATTATTATAGTTAGATGAATTTTTACCAAAATTAAAACAAATTCAAAAGAATTCATTAGAAATAGAAAAGTTTTATGACGAAACATCATTACATTATCAAAAGCAATCATTTAAAAATTTAAAAGATGTAGAAAACCCCAAAAAGCTTATCAAAAATTTACTTTCAAATCCTATTCAATTATCAAATACATTGCCACATAATAATAGTATTAATAATGAATAATAATAAAAAAAAAAATAAAAAAAAAAAATAAAACTAAAAATAAAAAAACATTTAAAAAATAACCTTATAAATCCAATAAATAAAGAATGATAAAGCTTTTTTTATTTGGTATTAGTCTAAAATTTTTTTTAGATAAAGTTCTAAAGCTATTCTTCTTCTGTATTGGGTAATGTCTTTTTGAGTAAAGTTTAGTTCTGAGCCTCTTGATGAGAATTCAGCATATTTACACATAAAGACACCACAATCGTAACCATTGCTTTGAATTGGAATATCTTTTGGAATTGAATCTTTAAATTCGTCTAAATTTACAATGCCTTGTTTACTTCTATTTACCATTTCATCAGCCACATATCTTCTTAGTTTCTAAATAAATATTAATATGAAAATAGATATGATTGGTTAATAGATTGGTCAATATATTATTTGTATTTTTAAAAAAACTTACTTTTAAACATTCTCTATTATCACCTAAAAGACTATCGAAATATTGGAATTGTTTATCTTTGAAATTAATTACAGCACAGCACCAATGATTACCTAAATGAACTGGTAGGATTACTTTATCTAAACTGAATATATCAACTTTGTTTGTCCAACGTTTTACTTTACTGAAATCATAGTTTTCTGGCCCATTACAGAGTTGAGTATAAAAGAAAGTACCAAAGAAATGACATTTTGGAAGATTTGGATTGTTTTTTTGTCTAATCTTTAAAATTTCCATATAGAAATTGATAACTTCATCATTTAGCCATCTACCTGGTTTTAACAAATGAACATCTCCTCTATTAACCTCAGCTGTTGGTAACTCTGAAATTTTTTCGTCTTCTCTACCTGATCTGAATAAAGAATCAATTTGTTCTTCTTCTTCTTTTGTTAGTGGTCTTAGTTCAACTCTTTTATTCTTTTCCTTTTCCATTCGTTCACGAATGTTCTTTTCGAGTTCTCTAAATCTTTGATCATTGCCAATATATTCTTTTAATGATAAAATTTTTTCATCCAAACATTTCTCCTTTAGTTTTTGAATTGCTTCATCTCCTTGAGCCATTTTTAATTTTTTCATTTCTTCTTCAACAGTGGCTATTTGTGCAGGTCTTAATGATGAAATTAGTGATTCTTTATTGTTTTCAATATTTCTTTCTTCTATTTCTTCATCATTGTCATCATCGTCAATAATAATTACTTGATTTTTATATACTGATGATTCTAAATCTTTGGTGAATAATGGGTTGATGGTTTTATTTGGTGTTGAAAGAGATGGGTTTTTGTTTGTTGAAAGTTTTATCCTATCTTTTGGGCTTATATTATTATAATATTGATAACTTTTTTTATTTTCTTGATCTTCAGTTGTTTCTTTTTCTTCATTTTCTTGTTCCTCTTCTTTTTCCCCTTGATTAAATGTTAGAGCTTTCATAAAAGCAGTTATTGAGTTAACAAATTTATTTTTATCATTTTGTTCAGTGATTCTGTCTACTGTGGATTTTTTTGGTGTCTCATTTATTTCATTGTTATTATTTTCATTGTTATTATTTTCATTATTATCATTACTGCTATTATTCATTTTTTTGTTGGATATATGGTTGTTTTTTAAAGATATGTGATAGTGTTCTGGAATTTTAATTAATGAGTTTCTTGGTTGGGATTTATGTGGTTTGGGTTTATTTCTGTTAAAATTGTTTGGTGCTTTTCTATAGTTATTTTTTTTATATTGGTTGTTATCTAGAAGACTATTGCGATTATGATTTTCTGTCTTTAAAAATGAGCTTACAGATGAAACAATGCTGCCAATATCGTATTTAATTTTATTATATGCTGAAAATAAAAAATCTGTTGGATAATTATTAATATTAAAAAGATTATTTTTGTTATTATTTTTGGGTAGTGTTAGATTATTGTAGTTTTGGGAATTGTTATAGTATTGTTTATTCCTCTTTCTTTTAGGTGGAGGATTATCTTCCCTATTTGTATTATTACTATTATTATATGTACAAGTTGAATCTGAATTATTATGTGGTAATGAATCTTCGTCCCCTATGAATTTCCTTTTAAAAGAATTATAATATATTACAACTTTAGAAGTCATTTAAGTATATAAATAAAAATAAAGAAGAGGAGCGAAAAAATTATTTTTGTAAAAAAAAAAATAAAAACAAAAAAAAAAAAAAAAAAAAAGAAAAATTAATAAAAAAAAAAAAAAAAAAAAAAAAAAATTAATTTTTATTTTTTAATTTAATTTTTTTTTAGGAATTATAATAACTTTTTAATACCTATCTTTTATTTCTTAAATGTATATCTCAAAATAATTAAGTATAAATTCTCTTATTTGTGCAATTATAATAATCCTAAGTTTTTATTTATTTATTTTTTTTTTCAAATAATTTTTAAAATAAATTTTTATAAAATAAAATTTTTTTAATTATTAGTTTTTTTAAAAATTTATATATATTATATAAATCATGTTATACAATAAATAAAAAATGGAGTTACTAATGAAATTCAAATTTTTTTTAATAACTACTTCTATACCAATTATAGGTATTATAGTATTACTATTAATCAAATATTTTTATTCATATTTTTATAAAAATAATAACCATAACTATAATAAAAATAAAAATGAAGATGGTAAACCGAAAAATAAAATAAAAAACAAAAATAAAATAATAGAGTCAATATTTATTGTTGAGTTGGTGTTATATTTCATGATAGTTATTGGTATAGTTGGATTCTTTTCATCATTTTCAGGGTGGGGATATCTCTCATATAAAGTTACAATTTTATTATCAGTTTTTGTATTGGCTGGTTTTACTATATTCCAACTTGTAAATTTTTATAAAGAAGATATTAAAAAAAAAGTAAAGGAAAGGAAATATTATTTATATTCAAAGAGCAGGGTTGATCCAAGGATATCGTTAATGGGAAGGATCAAGATTCAGATTCTCAATTATTTCAATGATGTGATTTCAACTATACAATTCAAACCTAGGCTATCTTTTCTTTTAGTTGGATCATCAGTACTATTGGGAATGTTTATACCGTTTGCTCTCGATAATCTTTGTATTTGTTCTCAGCCCATAACAGTCTCGACTAGATTAACAAGAGCTTTTCAAGAGTCTTATTGTAAAGATAAGGAAATTTGTTTTGTTTATTTAACTTTGCCCGAAGATCCATCAAACTCAATGATTTTGCAAGTCCACACAAGAAATGAACCAATCGAAACTACTGTTCGATTATCAAAACTAGACTTACCTAGTTCTCACCCGGTGGAGTGGAAAACAAATAGTTTCATATCAGTTTCAGAAATTATTAAAGAAGAGCCGCGTTTTGTTAGCTATATTGAATTTAATAGTCTCAGTGAATCTACAAATTACAAATTTAACTTTACCATTACCACCAAAGATGGTCCAATTAAATCAGTCAATTATGGGTTTAAAACATTTTCAAGTGGAGTGGGTGATGGAGGACTAAAATTTATAGTTGGTGGTGATTTAAATTTAAATAGTGACGCAACTGATTTAGCTCGAATAGGTAAAGATTTTAATCCAGATTTTGTAGTTATTGGAGGTGACATAGCATATGAAAATGGAATAGGATCTTGTTATAGGAGATGGGATGAAAAAATCAATTTTTTAACACAATATTTTTCATATGATCAACAATATAATAGTAATAACAACAACACTAATAGCAATAACAATAGTTTTATTAAATTTTTAACGCCGCTGTTAATGTCAATAGGTAATCATGAAAGTGGAGCATTCTTTCAAACTCATGATCAAGTTCCATTTTATTTTAAATATTTTTTATTTAATATTGGAGACTCAAAGAAACCAGTTAAAGAAAGATTGTCATACCATATTCACAAGCTACCATTTGGAATAAGTTTAGCATCATTGGATAGTTGTGTAGTTTCAACGTGGGACCAGCAAACTCAGTGGCTAGATAATCAATGGTCAAATGAAAAATATAATAATACCAGCAAACTTGTGGTTTATCATCATCCAATTTATACATCAAGACGTAATATTAATGACAAAATACCGACAATGGGCCAAAAATCAATTGTACCTCTATTTGACCATTACAAAGTGCCATTTGCATTTGAAAACCACGAGCATTTATTCAAAAGAACAAAACCGCTTTTCAATAATAAAGCAATAAATATAAATAATAATAGTAGTTTAAATTCCAAATTGGGAACAGTATATGTTGGTGATGGATCATGGGGAACATCAAAATATAATAGGAAGCCTCAAGAAGCATCTGAAAACACATTGCCTTGGTATTTAGCCAAGAGATCTGAAATAAAGTAAGTTCTACACTATTTATATCATTATACAATTTGGCATTATAGCAATTTATTAATTTTTTTTTAGCCACCTCTGGTTTGTTACCATAAGTAATCAGGAAATAATAGTAGAGGCATTTTCGCCCGATAATAATAAAATAGATAGAGTCGAATATTATAGATAGGTTTTTTGATCAATTTGATCAATTATTTTTTTGGTTAATTAAAATAAAATTTTTTTTTTCAATTTTTTTTCATATTCATTTTCACCTTTTTTTTTTTTTTTTTTTTTTTTTTAAATTTTTTTTTAAAATTTTTTTAAAATTTTATCGTGTTAAATTACAATTAATAGTAATATATAATAAATAAATAATAAAGCAAACATGGTTCAAGATATAATATTTATTTTATTTTTATCAGTTGCAAGTACATTATTATCAGAAGGTGTATCATGGCTCTTAGTTTATAGAACAGATAGTTATAAGAAATCTAAAGCAAATATTGATAGATTACAAGCCCAACTCGATAAAATTAAAGAGCAAGATTCAAATACATCCACACTTTTAAAGAAAAAACAAGATAAAAAAGGTGAAAAGATTGAAGAAGCCTTAAAAATTGCAAACAAAGATCTTTCATTATCTAAATTTAAATCAATGTTCTTTGTTGCAATTTCAATGATTGGTTTATTCAGTTATTTAAATAGAATGTAAATATTGAAATTATAATACTAATAACAATAACAATAACAAATAATAATAATAGATAATAATAATAAATAATATTGATAGTTATAATAAAGAGTTTTAAAATATTAATAATTTATTTATTTTAGTTTTGATGGTGTTGTAGTTTGTAAATTACCATTTGTACCAATTGGATTCCTTCAAAATATTTCACACAGAACTATCGCAGGTGATGATTACACAGATTGTTCTATGACTTTTATTTATGCAATGTGTTCAATGTTTGTTAGAAATAATATTCAAATGATTTTGGGTACTGCTCCACCAAAGAGTAAAAATCCATTTTTAGGTGGTATGGACGAAAAAAAATAATTTAAATATAAACTATAAAAAATAAAATATATAAAATCAAAATTTTTTTTTAAAATATATAATGCTGTTTATTTTATTTTATTTTTTTTCTTTTGAAACAATTATTTTATTATTTCAATAAATTAATTGTTCACTATCTAGTTTTTTTTATTATCAATTGATTTATTAATATATTGTGGATAGTTTTCTAAAAACCATTCCTTAGTTCTCTTCATACCTTCTTTAAGTGGAACGATTGGTTTATATTTAAGATCTCTTTTGGCTTTTTCGATATTAAAGTAACGGGTGGCATTGGTGTAAACCATACGGAATACAGTGATGGTTGGATGAATTTTAACGAATGGTGAAAGTAAAAGAACAATAATTTCGATAACCCAAGCAATACCGTACATTAAAGTGAATGGAATCTTAATTTTTGGTTTTTCATAACCAAAAGCTTCGTAGGCGTAAATTGGCATATCCCAGAATGGAATTGGTTCATCGTTGGTGATGAAATAGATGTTACCACTAACATTGGATTCTGGAGTCATATGTTCTGCTGCTAAAATATGTGCATGAACAACATTGTCGATATAAGTCCAATCACAAAGATTGTCGCCTGAACCAAACATAAATTTATTTTTACCTTCTTTAGCGGCATTTAAGAATTGTGGCCAACCTTGAACTTCACGTGGTCCAAAGATACCAGCTGGACGAAGAGCACAAACTAATAAACCTGAGCCGTGGGCTTTAATAACTTCTTTTTCACCTAATTCTTTAGTTTTGTTGTATGGGTCAAAGTGTTTTTTGACGTATGGCATGGTTTCATCACCACCAGCAATATCTGAACCATTGAAAACAACACTTGAACTACTAGTATAAACTAATTGTTTAACACCACTTGCAATACATGCATCGACAAGTTTTTGAGTACCAACTACATTAACACTATAATAAATATCATAACCCATACCGTGAGTTGGTGATGCTGTGTGGAATACTGTGGTAATACCTTTACATGCTTTTTCTAAATCTTCTTGCTTTCTAATATCACCAATGTGGAATGTAACTCTGTCATCTTCGAATGATTTTCTGATATCAAAAACATGAACATTGGTTTCACCTTTGTTTAATAATGACTCAACAATAAATCTACCTAAAAATCCACAACCACCAACAACTAAAAATGACTAATAATTAAATAAAAATATTAGATTTTTTTTAACACACATAAATATTCTATATCGTTTTTTATTTACTTTTTTTGACATTTTATTAAATATAATATTAAATAAAATTTAATAATTTTAATAAAATAGTATAATTAAAAATAAAAAAAAAAAAATGAGAAAAAAGAAAAAAAAGATTTTTATAAAAATAAAAAAAAATAAATTAAAAAAAAAAGAAAAAAAAATAAAAAAAAATTTAAAAAAAACGATTTGATGATTTTATTTATTTATTTAATCAATCATATTTTTTAATGAAAATTGATCAAATATTTTTAAATTTATAATTTGAACCAGTTCCAGTTGAAGAACCACCTGAATAGTTATTTGAAGTGCCAGAACCACTATTATTTGATGCACCAGAACCGCTAATAAATGACGAACCCGAGCCCGAAACAGAGCTGTCATATGATTGATTAGAATTTGATGAATCAAAAGAGGATGACGATGATGAGCTAGGTACAGGTGAACCTTGTCTACAAACAAAATTTGAATAAATTGATGGATTAAAGTATTGGGTACAATTGTTTGGGTATGGAATAATTTCACATTTATTATTAACACAAACTTTATTCATCGGTTCATCATTTTCACAATAAACAAGTGAGTATGGATCAGTACTATTAAATGCAGTACTATTAAGGAACATTTTCATGATTGGTGCAGGACCTTCGCAATCGCTATTGGAAGTTGGGAAAAATTGCATTACCATAATAGTGGATACTTCAAAAAGTGGTTCACTTGAAACCAAATGTAATTTATTTGGATCATAATGATTAAATGGGATTTCATATGGGCCATAGTTGCCACCTTAAAATTTTTTTTATCTTATTAGTACTTTTAATATTTTTATTTTTTATTTTTTTATTTTTATTTTTACCTTTAAATGTGTTTTCATAAGCTGGGTTACCTTTACAATTGACATTATCATAAAGTTTAAGAGATATATCATTTTCACTATCAATATTAGCAATAGCAGCCCAACCTTGGGCATCATACGAAAGACATGGTTGACCTATTGCAACAATGTACCCCACAGCATCATTATCTTGTTTACTTGGTGGATAAAAATATGCATAATCATATGCACTGCATTTACTTATAATATTAATTACAAATATAATTATAAATAAATAAAAAAATTTCATTTTTGAGTAAATATGAAAACTAAAAACCAAAAAGTTATAAAACTTTAAAATTAAAAAAAAATAAAAATTAAAACCGATTATTTTAAAAAATTTCCAAAGAAAATTATTTCCATGTAAAAAAATATCTATTTGTTTTGAAAATGTCTTTTGGAAAGTAAAACAACCTTTCTCTAAAAAAAAAAAAAAAAAAAGAAAATTTTATAAAAACAAATGCCAAAAGTTTATTAAAGTTCACCCTTGTTAGTGATCATATTGCATTTTATCCTAAACTATCATGTTCCCCACCATTAATAATAAATTTAAGCCATCATTCATCTATCAATTAATAAATCTCATTCACTTTATATTACAGGTGCATAAACTCATTTTATATCCCATCACAACCACGTTATTACAGTATTTTCCATATGTTTTTGGCTGGGTATGATCCATACTATTAATTAATGTGTAAATCCTATATTTTTTATTTTCAATATATCAAATAAAAGGTAAATATATATAAAAAAAAATGTGTTTTTTAAAAAATATTTTCATTTTATTTTTTATTTAATTTATATAATTTTTTTTTTTTTATTTTTTAATTATTTTTCTTATAAAAATAAGTGGGGTAAAAACTTATGAAAAGATAATTAATTTTTCACTTTTTTTTATTATTTTTCTTATTTTTTTTTTTACAATTTAAATAATATTATATCTTAATAATACTATAATAAATAAAATAAAATGGTATTATCAGTTGAAAAAAGGGAAATGATTTTAAAACTTCATGAAGAGGGTTTAAGCCATTCAAAAAAAGCACAAATAATTGGTTGCAGCTTATCAACAATTAAAAATATATTGAAAAATTATGCATTAAATAATTCACTTGAACCTAAAAAAGCTTCAGGTAGGAAAAGAACATTGGTACCTAGAATTGAAAGGGTGATAAAAAATTTAATATTGGATGGGAAATGTCATAATCTTGGACAAATTAAGAGTTATCTTTACAAGAATTATAATGTACAGACTTCCATTAACACAATAAGAAGGTCACTCCTATGTAATGATGTTACATTAAAAGTTTGAAATGTAAGCATTATCTCACAAAAAATTCAATGAAGCAAAGATATGTTTGGGCCATAAATATAGAGACTGGACAGTGGAAGATTAGAAAAGGGTAATTTTTGCAGATGATACTAGAATTGAAAGATATTCTCAAAAATGGGTTAATAAAAAATGGATCCAAGGTAAAAGATACCATCCAAAAAACTATCAAGAAAGAGGTCAACCGGAGTTTCAGTGAATGCATGGAGTTGCGTTACTTCGAGAGGTGTAGGTTATATGACATTTATTGATGGTAATACTGACAGCGAAACATATATTGATAATTTATATCAATCAATTCTAAAAAGAATTCAACAAATAATTGCAAATAGAGGTGGTTTCACAAAATATTAAATGTTTTTAACGAAAATACCTAAAATAAAAAATTATTTTTTAAAACACTAAAAAATGAATTAAATATTTTAAATATTTTTGTAAAGATAATTATACCTACCATAAAAAAAAAAAAATTAAAAAAAAATTAAAAAAAAATATTATCTTTTAAAAATTGTATTTATTAAAATAGAAAAACGTTTATCTTTTTTATATTTATGAACCAATTTTATAATATAAAAAAAAAATAAAAGGATATTAAAAAAAAAAATTTGGCCAAAAACATATGGAAAATACAGTATAGTAAAAATGTTGGAGAACCATCCAGTAATAATTCATCAAATGGATTGTTTTTCAAAGTTACAAGATGTTTTCAACAATAATTAAAATTTTTTTTATTAGACTCTATTAAATATTTTAAAGTACTATTAATCTTTAGAGGTATCTAAAGAATAGTTTTATACAAGATTTTAATTTTTATTTTTATTTTTAAAATTCTAAAAATCAAAGCTACTTGCAAATTTTTCTGAATATCTTTTTGACAAACCTGTGAATGCATTTGAAATTGTTGAATCTGGATCTCTGTGTTGAAGAGCTACTTCAATGACCTTTAGTGTTAAACAAAATTCTTTTAATAGGGTCCAAATATCACTTTCTTTAATACCATTATCTTCTAAAATTGTTTTAACTTGACCATGTTTATAGAAATCCATTAAATATGAATTTGTTTTACCATTAATCTCGCAAAATGGTAAAACAGATGGAGAGAAATATGTATTTGAATGGAAGGTTGCTACTAATTTCTGGATATTATTAACATAGAAGAGACCAGATAACGAGTTAACTGTGTTGGAATTATCTAAATTATTTTTAAATGGTTTCATATTATTATTCCAGTTTTCGACCGATTTTTTTGATGATGATTTGTATTGATCGTTAAATTTGTTTATTTTTCTTGAGAGTGGAAGCATATTTTTACCTATATATTGATTATAAATTCTGACATAGGTTGAAAAGGTATTTAATAAACGTTGGTTATGGTTCTTGATTATATTTAAAGCTTCAGTTGGAAGTGGTGGAAGAACCAATATACTTGGCGATCTAGCTTTAGATGATGGAATTGGTTGAATACAAAATAGATAAGATAAAACATGGATTATATAAAGATCACGTTCTTTTTGATTTGGTGATAGGTTATCAAAAAGGCCAGATCGTAATAATGATACAAAAACAAAGTTGTATGGTTCTAAATAACCGAGATGAGTTACCAAACCAGAGTGATTTAATGGAACACCTTTACGATTTAAGAAACCTTCTCTAAAAAGATAATCTACTGAAAATGAAAATAAAAATTGAACTTGAAGTGGATCGCCCAAAAAGAATGAGTTGTTTAATAATGATTTTGTGGCCTTCTTTAAAATTTCAATATCTACTTTAGAGACTTGATCCAATTGCTTTTTTGGTTGGTATGTTATTTGTTGATCACTATTAATTTTACTAGTATCTAATATTTCATTTTCATCATTATCCCAACTATCCTTTATACTTTCTTTTTCGCTATCTGAATTATCCCAAGAATCTTTAATTTCTTCTGATTCATCTATTGGTTTTTTTGGTTCATTTGGTTCATTTGACTCTGCTTGATTTGATTCTAAAGAAGGTTTGTTTGAACTATTAGCTGAAAAATCATATCTTGAAACTAATGATAAGCATAATGATGGTGATAAAACTGTATTACCGGTGATGTTTGAAAGATTTGAGTTTAATAAACGATTAATTTTAAATTTGGAAATACCCAAGAAACCCACATTACCTCTTAAATCGAGACCACGTCTACCAGCTCTACCTGCACATTGTCTATAAGTTAAAACATTTAAATATGGTGAGTCACCTGCAAATACGACTGTGCTAGCTGGCATATTAACACCCACTGCCAAAGAGGAGGTGGCAAAAAGCAACTGAATCTTTTTACCTCTAAAAAGGAATTCGACAGTACGTAAGTAGTTTTTATCACAGCCACTGTGATGAGCACCAATACCCTGCATTAAAACTGGAGTTAATGGATTATTTTTAATTTTATACTCCTTGTCTATATCTGAGGATGAAATAGTGCCAAATTGTGGTTTGATATATTCCAGTGAGGCTTTCTTTGACTTTAATCTTTCTAATTCAATCATTAATTCATCGGAAATATCTAATTGTTTCTTTTCTGCGCTAATTGCTTTTTCTATTCTCTGAATCTCCAAATCAATAGCTCTTCTTTCTTCTTTAGTATTTGGGCTTTGATGTCTTTTCATTAGATCTGAATAGACTCTTTGAGCTAAATTTGTACATTGAGTTCTATTAAAGCAGAAAATAATTGCTGGTAATAGTTTATCTTCTTGGAGCTTTAAAACAATATTGGTAATATCACTCTCCCATTTGAATTTTAAATTGTCATAAAGAGGATTAGTTAAAGAAGATGAAACACTTAGCTTTTGTTCTTGTGAAAGATTGTTGTAGTATTCCTTCAATTCATTTTGATAGTTGAAAATTTGTTGTTTTTCTAAATTAAACTCCTTGTTTTCGATTTTTGCAAAATAAAGTTGTGGGTCGAATTGTTTTACCTTTTCGTAACCAATAATCTTTGATAAAGCCTCAAATAACTCGTGGCTTTCACTTGGTATTAAAGTTAAGTCACTTGATATTTTATTTAAGCCACCTACTTTTGTTGTTAGTGATGAAAATGGGTGTAATGGATTTAATTTGTATTCAAACGAAACTCTTTCAATTTTTTTATCTTTGTTTTCCTCGTTATCCTCATCGTAACCAAATTTAATTTCTTCATCTTCTTCATTTTCCTCACTTTCTTCTTTTTTTATTTCTTTTTCTTCTTTTTCTTCTTTTGTAGTTTCTTGTTGATCTGAAATTAAGTCTTGTTTTTTTTCTTTTCTTGATTGAGAAATGAAAAAAGTTTTTAAATCATTAAATCTATGAGTATAATGAATAAGTTTAACCTTTCTTTCTGGATCTATTTTTTGAAGGAATCGATGGAATTCATTCAAATTACCTAGTGTGGCGGAAAGAGCTAAAAATGGACATGGATTAAATAATAATAAACGTTCCCAAACAGCACCATCTGTGTTACAAACTTGATGGACTTCATCAAAAATAATATATCTAATACGTTGAATAAATTGAATATTTGCAATTGAAAGGAATAAAATTTCGAGGCATTGTGGAACAGTAATTAAGATTTGACAATTTTCCATATCTAATCTCCAATCTCTAGTAAATATACCAACAGTTTTATTATTTGATGGACGATGATTAATTGCAACGAAATTCTTTTCATAACGACCTAAAACTTCGGCATACATTTGATTTACTAATGCTTTGGTTGGTGCTATAAAAACTACAATACCTTCATTATCTTGACGAAGAATTTTTTCAAATGTATAAAATGAAATAAAAGTTTTACCAGATGAAGTTGGTGCACAAATTAAAGCAGACTCCCTGTTATCTACAATATCCAAAAGTTCAACCTGCCATTTATCTGGTACAAAACCACGTACTCTTGAATCCGGTTTACCACCTGTATTTCTGACCAATGTTTCTGGGGTTTCTTTAATTTGGAACTCAATTGAGTTATTATTTGGACCATTGTTATCATTAATTGGTAGTTCTTTTTTCCCCAATTTAAACTTTGTGTTTAAACAATTTGCCAAGTCGCTGAACAATAAAATTGATTTTGAGATTTCATATAAATATTTTGAAATACTTTTAATTAAATTTTGACTAATGTTTGAATCGGGCTGTAAATCATTGAAATATCTAAGATAGTTCTGAACCAATTGATAATATGGAACCTTTTCATTGGACTGTAGCTCTAATTCTGATAAATCGATCATATCTGCTGTAACTATAACTTCAGACTTCTTTGCACTTGGATTGACTCTTTTTATCTCTTTAAATTTAAGTGACTTTAACTCTTCCATCTTTTCAATTAATTTCTTTTCTTTTGTTGAATTATAGGTTTGTAAAAGCTTATTAAAGTGTGATTCATAAAGATCAAATGCTTTGTCTAAATAATCTAAATTATTTAAAAACTTGAGTGTTTGTAGAGGTGAATCCATTAAAGATAAATTCTCTTCAAACTTTTTTTTATCTTTGATTAATCTTTCTTCTAATAATTTATCTCTTTCATTTTTTGGTTTTATATTTGATTTTATTGGTACTGATTTTTTATTGAAAGATTTTTTAAATTCTTCCTTTTCTTTTTTTAATTTCTCTTTTTCCAATTCTTCTTTGGTTGGATCAAGCTTATTAATGATTAATTTATTTATTGGATCATTTAGTGAATCTGCATATTTTTTGAATACAGCAGCACTCTTTTGATTAAGTTTGAGAGATGTTTTTCTGTTTACTTTAAACTCTTTTAATTTAACACTAAATGCATCGGGTTCAATTTTTCTATTTGAATGAAAATGGAAATCGTCGACAAATCTAGATGAGAATGTTTGAGGTGTTAATTCATCCAAGTCTTTTTTATATGAGCCTAAGTACTCTAAAGAATTTGGTGCTACAGTATTCAAAAACTCGTTCTCTAATAAATAGACCCCATTATCTATTTTGCCAATCTTTTTAGATTTCTTTTCAATTTTTTCTAAAATTTCCTTGGTGTTAAAATAGTTGGTTGGATTTGAAAATACTTGTAGATCGATAAATGGCTCGGATGAATTTGATACATAGTCCCAAATTTGGCCACACTCTCTTAAAATTGATTCACCAAATAGCTGATTCAAGTCTTCCAGTGATTTAATTGATTTAAGTTGGATTTGTATCATTATTTGATAAAACAATTTAAAGTCAACAAAGTCAATTAAATCTATATTTTCCAGAGCAGAGCTACCACCTTGTTCCTTTTTATAGTTTAAATAAGAAATTGAGTTTGTTGAAAATTCTTCCAAGTATTCTGAAATCTCTTCATCAACTTTTAATTTGTTGAGAAATAAAAAGCCCCTTTCACTTAACGATAAGGAATTGATTAAAGCCAAATAAATACAATAAACCCTATTTAGATAGTTGAAACGGCTATTAAACAAAAGTTTAAACAATTGAATTCTTAAATCCTTTTGACTATTATCTGGGCCGCTTTTATGAATTTCATCTCTTAAATTTGATGAAATGGCTTCATTTGCGAGTTCAGAATAGTTGTATAGCTTGTCTATTAATTTTCTTTTTCTTTTTGGCTCCCTTAAGAATTTTGGTAGTTTTCTCATAAAACTTGTAGTCTTTGAATAAATAATTGTATCAATTGCTGAACCTTCGAATGATAGAGAGTTTAGTTCAACAATAAAATCAAATGATAACAATGATGCCACAATAAAAAGATTCATTACATTGGCATCATATAATTCTAAAGACACTTCTTTTTCTGGGAATAATATAAAGATAAATGTAAACTAAACGAAATTAATATGTAATTTTTATAAAATAATAAAAACAAAAAATATACATACCATATTATCATCAAAGAAACTGAATAGTTTTTTAAGATCTAACCACCATTTTGTTTCGAGAACAGAAAATACTACATTTGAATCTTCCGGTAATAGGTTGGTATAGTATTCAATACAAAGATTTCTAATCAATTTCTATAAACAAATAAAAAATAAAAAAATTAGTCAACTCGAATTATAATTTATATATATGATTTTTAAAACTTTTTTATACTTACTAATGTTTCATTTTTATAAAAATTTTCATTTTCTTTAATAAATAAAATTGTGAATTTTGTTTTTCTATTTAACAAACTATCAATAAAAGTTTCGAAATAGTGAAAGAATGTGATTGATTGCGCGTTTTTTGGTGATAACAAAAATTTGGATTGTTTATCTTCTGAAGAAATTAAGTTGGAATAAAGATACAGAACTAAAGAATCACCATCAATTAAAAATGGATCTGTTGTACCAAAATCCCCAAATAAATTTAGCGTAGGTGTTGGATATACAAATTCTGAAATATCCATAAATAATTATTAATATAAATATAAGTTTTGAAATAAAAAAGTAAGTTTAATAACTGTAAAACAATTGATTGTTATATTGTTTTGAAGAAAAAAAATAAAAATAATTTGAGAAATTAATTAAAAAAAAAAAAAAAAAAAAGCTTAATAATTCAAAAAAAATTCAAAAAAAAATAAAAATTTAATTTTAAAAAAATAAATTTTTTGTGATTTTTTTCCCAAAATATATTTACTTAAATTAAGTAACTTTATTTTGTTTTTGCACTATCATTTGAATAAATTATGAAATTTCTCTGCTAAGTGTCTTAATATCAATAAACACTTATTATCTTCTGAATAGTATATACTAATTATTATTTGTTTATTTGTTTGTTATTTAATTATTTTTAAAAATCTAATGGATTATTTTTTAAGTTTGATTGACCAGCACCACATAATAAACCACTGCCAGACTTCATTTTTGAAACTATATTACCATCATCTTTTTTATTGCTATTTGAATCCTCAGGTTTAGAGTCGCCAGCTCTTGACATCTCTGGTTGTAAATGAATGGTTTCAATGCACATCTTTCTTCTTTTCATTTTGAAAACATAGGTTAACATATCTGGATGGAATGATAAAGAGAGTGTATTTAATCTAGCTATTTTTCTAATGTTAAAGAAACCAAGGTATTCTGCAAATTGCTCTGGAGTTTCACCACCCATACCACTGAATGAATTAATTGAGACTACAGTATCACAGAGATGTGATATCTTTTTAACAAATGCACTTGAATAAATATAAGTTGGTACTGAGATGACACAGGTGCAAACGGATGATCTTAATAAACCTTTAAGTGCGTGGAGGAACTCTATAACACCCTCCTCATTATTTGACCAAAGTGGTGATGAAAAAGATTGAATGCAAAGACGAAGTACTTTGGTTTGATCTGGATTAGCTGCTGCCTCTTTATTATATTTATAAACTAAATTTTGAATCTCTAAAAATAGATTTCTGTATGGTGATGAACCCTCGACCTGTGAATAATTTGAAGAGTATGATAATGTATGGATTAAATTTGGATTCATTGATTGTACATTCATCTTTCTGGTAAAGTCATAACTATGGCAAAATGTTTGATTTAAAATGGATGAGGTAGTTGGTTGCTTTGAAAGTTCGTTTTGAACATATTGTTGGTATCTCCACGCTATCTTTAATTCATCTGTTGGGTTTGATGGTTTATTGCTGTTGGTTGCTAAATTGTCAGTTTTGTCGTTTTCAATCTCTTCTTCTTTTGTAATTCTTTGTGGTAACTTGTTTAAAATTTCAAATGGATCAATACCAATTAATGATGAAAAAAATACACCTTGCTGTTGCAAAATACCCTCTGCAAGGAAATATTTTAATAAGAATATATAATAGCTACTATTAATATCCTCCTCAATCATTAAAATACTTCCTACTGGTATACCGCCTCCAATGATATCATCCAAATCTTGTAAACCTGTGCTTGTAAGTAAATTTGAATTATGTATTGAAACCTTACAACCATTTGGTAATTTTTTAGCTGCGGTTGTAGTGGCTGTTACTGTTGCTGATAAACCTCCTGCTGGTGAGGTAATTTTGGTTCCTCCTGGAACCTTTCTTGTAAATGTAGTTGGAACTCTTGGAGTTGTCATATTTTTAATTAATATATTAATTAAAAAATAAAAAAAAATAAATGTAAAAATACGAGAAAAAAAAATTTTTAAAATTAAAAAAAAAAAATAAAAAAATAAAAAAAATTTTAAAATAAATAAATAAATTAAATAAATAAATTAAACTAAAACTAAAATAATTTATTTTATAAGAAACTTTAAATGAAAAAGAAAAAAAAAAAGCAATGAAATTGAAATAGTTGAATTTATATTATTAATAAATTAATAAAAATAATAAATTATTGTTATGGTTTTTTCTTTTTTTAGAGTGATTTAAATTTTTGGATTGCATCTGCAAGAGTATCTGCTTGTAATCTGATTTGGTTGCAAATGTTTAATAATTTATCTTTGTTATCGAGGAGCTCGATGGAAGTGGTGTATGGATTATAACGGATTGCAAATGGTTTCTTTAAAGAATCTGCAAATTCTCTCATTTTTTCTTTGGCATCTGCAAAACTTTCAGCTACATAATAGAGTGGTTGGAATGTGGTAATTGGGTATTTGGTTTTACATGTAACAAATGGATCGAATGGTTTCTTTTCTGGTTTGTCAGATATACAGTACTCTAATTCACCTGTACTTGATAATAAACCTGCACCATATGCTTTAATTTTGTCACCTTCTTTACAAATACCAAATTCGACAGTAAACCAATAACATGTTGAAAGACGTTCAATATCCTCATCACTGGCACCAATAGATGCTAAACCAATCTCTTGACTAAAATCTGCAAAATCTGGATCTGCAAATAATGGTACATGACCTAATAATTCATGGCATACATCACTAATAATAAAAAGAGTTAGTAATTAGATTAAAATTGCTATTTTAAATAGAAACCTACGGTTCTGGTGTGTATAATGGTACTGAACTATGTCTAATATATTGTGTAGCATGGAAAACACGAAAAGCTAAACCATTTAAAAAGTCTCTACTTGATAATAAACCTTGGACTGGTCTAATACGGAAACCAGTACACTCTTGAAGGAAATTTGAAATATCTTGTAATTGTGGAATATTATCTTCTGAATAGCCACAGTTTTGTTCTAATAATGGGAAAACAAATGTATGTTGTTGGCAAGCATAGTTTGCAAAAAGTTCTTTTAATTTTTTGTAAACTCTACCCCAAGTTTCAGTTTCTTCTTTGGTATAATTAATTCTTGGGATTTCATGACCACTAAAAACAATGTAAATAATTAATACTTTGAAATTGGTAAAATAATAATAATAAATAAAAATGATAATTACTGTTTGTAGGTGGCAGCGATTGTGGCAATTTCCTTTCTTCTGGCTCTGTAAACTGGATCAGTGGCACCTGGATGATCACTTGAAAGCTCATCACCCATTTCTAAAACTTTATTGGCATATAAATCTAAGTCTGATAATTTTCTTGGGAACCAAGGAACTAAAATGAAAGTTAGTATAATATATTAAATAGTAATAATATATAATTAGAATATTTACTAGATGAATCTGATGAATCAACTTGAGGATTTTCAGAAACGATGGTAACCTTAACACCTCTACTTTCTAAATCTTCAATAACTTTTTCAACTTCTTTTAATGTATTTGAACCATACTCTAAATCTAAGAAAAAATCATAATCTGATTTTTCTGTCTTGGATGGTCTAGATTCGATTCGTGTTAAATTGATGTTATGCTTTTTAATTACTTCTAAATGCTCCAACAATCCACCGATTTTATCTGAACCCTTGGAGATTGAAAAGAAAATTGATGTATGAAATGGTGCTTTTGAAACGCCCTGTGAGTTTCTAATTGTAGTTTGAATATTAGCTGTTTCCATTTATTTTAAAAACTAAATATTTATAAACTTTATTAATAGCTGAATTTTATTATATGATTGAAATTTAATGTGTATTTGAAATTTAATTTTATTGAAATTTTAAAAAAAAAAAAAATATTAAATAAAAAAAATAAAGAAAAAGAAAACAAAAAATTAAAAAATAAAAAATAAAAAAAAATAAAAAAAAATAAAAAAAAATAAATAAAAAAATTAATTATAATAAATATAAATTATTATAGGTATTATGAGGGGTATATTTTTCTTATTAAATGGGGGTATTTTTTTAACACTCACCTTTTTTTCTGTATGTTTGGAAAAGAGAATGGGTGTGTTAAATATGTGTGAGTTATATTTCAAAAATATATTCTTGATAAAACAAAAAAAATATATATAATTATAAAATAAAAAGGAAAAAATAAAAATTAGTTTTTGAATAAAAGAAAAAAAAAAAAATAAGTTTTTAAAAAAATTTTATTTTTTTTAAAAAAAATATTTTGTCCTATCAAATGGTTTGAAATTTCAGTTATATACGTTCAATTTAAAAAAAAAAAAAAAATCCAACCCCAATGAATTATATATTTTTATAAATTTCAAAAATATCCAGAGTTTATATCATTAGAAAAAGATGCAAAAAAATAAAAATATAAAATAATAATAAAAATAAATAATAATTAAAATAAATAATAATAAATATAAATAATAATTAATAAAAATGTATTTATTATGGTGAAAAAACTAAAACATAAATGATCTATCATCATGTATTATTAATATTTATTAATAATAAGAAAAAAAAAAAGTGGTTTAATATCTCCCAATAAAGTTTTTATTTTTGTAAAATTAATCTCTTTCAAAAAAAAAGTTATCTTTATATTTTAAAAAAAAAAAAAAGAAAAAAATATTTAATATATTTTTTATTTATTTATTTTTTATTTATTATATTTTTTAATTATTATTTAATGATAAACCATTAAGAGTTGGTGAGGAAAGGTTGTTAACTAAATCGCTGAATGGTGAAAAGATGTTACCACTAATGAAATTATTATCTACAATATTGAATAAATAATATGAATCGATCATTTTGTCTAAAATTTCTCTGCTCTTTGAATCCTTTTCATAATTATTTGCCCATTGAGTTTCCCAGAGAGCAAAAGCTTCATCTTTCCAAACCATGAATGAGTTATGATCGACAACTGTTGGTTGAATGATTTCTTTACCTGGGAAAATACCCCAAGTAACAGCGTTGGTACCTTTAGTATTTGTTTTTTGATCTCCTTTACGATTGACGGCGTGATAAGTGATCATTGGACATTTCTTGATGTATTCGATAAGTTTTTGTGCATTTTCTGGTGAAGTAAAGAATTCAATGTAAGCTTTTTTGTAGATGAAACCGTTTTTACCACCCCAACCATGTTGTTTATCGGTTGATGGTACACCATTGATTGCTGGTTGTGAATTGATAGTGAGGAAACCATTTTTATTTAAGAAAACAAGTTGATCTTTAATGTTTTCAGACTCTAAAGAGAGTGGAGTGTCATTCCATGGGAGTTTTTTAATTTTACCTTCACAATAACTAGCGAAAACGTTGTAGATATCTTGTTCTGTTGAATGTGAATCACCATAGATATTGGTGGTTGCAGTGGAGACAACATCGCTGGTACTAACAGCAACACCACCTAAATGGTAATCACTGAGGTCACCAAATGCTGGTGATCTGTAATCACCCCAACGGCCATTTGGAAACTCATCCCATGAACCAGTACGAGCAATATATGATCTTGGACGATTTTGCCAGAAAATTGGACGAACTTCTTCTTTGAGACGATTACCAGCAGCAGATTGAGCCCATGGAAGGTATGGTGAGAGTTGATCTGGGGTGACTAATTCGAGGCCTTTGAGTACTTTTCTAACGCTTCTTTCTAAATTTAATGTGTAAAAGTGGAGACCTTCAACGCCAAATTCTAAAAGTCTTTTTGACATTTCGACGCATAAACGAACACCATATTTCTTAACTTCTTCATCATTATCTTTGATTGGTTCTAAATTATCCATAATGTATTGTGGAACTTTAGTTTTTGAGAGGGTGGTCATACGAACGAAACCAGCATAAGTTTGAATTGGCATAATACCTGGAATAATTGGACAATTGATACCTACTTCACGACATTTCTTTACAAAATCACAAAAGACATCAACATCGTAGAATAATTGAGTAATAATTAAATCTGCACCAGCATCAACTTTAGCTTTTAAGTGGGTGATATCGTCTTCGAATGATGTGCAATCACTATGACCTTCTGGGTAACCGGCAACGCAAATACCAAAGTAATCACCATAACGTTCACGAATGAATTTAACTAAATCACAAGCATAACCAAAACCACCTTCAATCTTTTTCCATTCTTCACCTCTTGGAGGATCACCACGAAGTGCTAAAATATTTCTAATACCGGTAGCTTTAGCTTTATCTAATGCATAAATAATTTCGTTAACTGGCATATTGGTGCAGGTAAGATGCATCATAGTTTCTAAACCACATACATTTTGTGCTTTCTCTGCAATTTCTAATGTTAAAGCTGATGTAGAACCACCTGCACCCCATGTAATATCAATGAATAATGGTTCAAATAATAACATTCTACCTAAACGATCATAAAGATTTTGTACACCTTCCATTGTCTTTGGTGGGAAATACTCGAATGAATAAAATGGTACATTGCTTTCTTTCTTTTGATTGATTTTGTCAATAATTTTCATTGATGTCATTTTTTTCTTGTTATACTATATATTATTATTTATTGAAAAAAAAAAAAAAACTGTTGTTGCAATTTAAAAAAAAATTTTAAAATTTATTAATTAGTATATTAATAAAAAAAAATAATAAATTAAATAATATTTTTTTCTTTTTTTTTTAATTTTGTAGGGATATAAAAAGAATATAGTCGCTGTATCTAAATTCAAATTTTGAATCTAGTATAATATAATCTATATTTTTAATTATCCAATAAAACCATCTATAAATTAACCTTTACCTTTTATTGCTGTATTCAAAAATGAAATTTTAATTTTTTTAATGGGGCGTATATAATACAATTTGCTTAAAAACCTTAGTTTTATTTATAACTACAAAAAAAAAATAATGAATTTAAAACTAAAAAAATTTTTATTTTTTTTTTTTCTATTTTTTTAATTTTTTTTCATAATTTTTTTTTTTTTTTTTTTCTCCATTGACTCAGCTCAATTTTTTTTTTTATTAATTATGTGAAAAATATCTTTTTAAAACAAAAGACAAACAAATGTGAACATAATAATGGCTGGTATCCGAAAATAATAAATAACAAATAATTCCACCTTAATTGTCGAGTCAACATCTTATTTTTTTATAAATAATGAAAGCGGTATCTTTTAGTATAAAAATAATAATATTTGGAAAAAAAAAAAAATGAATCTATTATTTTTTTATTGATCTCATAAACCCATATAAATTTTTTAAATTATAAATAGAATTTTAGGGAAAAAAAAAAAAAAAAGATTAAAGAATTTTCTTTTATGGAAAAATAAATTAAAATGGTTTTAAAAGGAAATGTTTTGATCATCATTATTAAATTCAAATAATTTCCTGTTTAACCAGGTTAATTGAATTTATTATTTTTAATTATATTTAAATTATTTTAATTTTTTTAAAATTTTTTATAATTTTTTTTTTAAATTTTTAATTATGAAAAAAAAAAAAAAAACGAATAATTTCCTTTTTTTTATAACAATAACACAAAAAAAATGTCAACAAATTTTTCAAAACAAAATAGCAGATTGTTATTTGAAAAGTGTAAGAACAATGAGACTGAAAAAGCATTGGAAATGATATCAAATATTGAAAATTTAAGAATCAATGTCAACGAAAGATTCGAAGGTGGTTGCACATCATTTTTCATTAGCTGCTATTTAGGTAATTTAAAGTTGGTTCAAGCATTGGTCGAAATTGGTAAAGCAGATATTACAATCGAAAGTGACAACGTTAGACCATTCACAGTAGCATGTGTCAGGGGAAGAATCCCAGTTATAGATTATTTATTAACCAACTTTTCAGATAGAATCGACCCAGATTCAATGATTACAGGCTGTGTTGGTGCTGCACAATACAACTTTCCACAAATCGTCCGAAGAATTTTAGGAAGAGGATTGGATGTTAATTTGTCAGTTGATGATAATGGTGCAACTTTATTATATGTAGCAACAGAAAACGAACACGAAGAGGTTGTATCACTTTTAGTCTCCTTAGGTGCCGATCCAAATCGTTCACGTTCAGGATACTACCCAATTCATTTAGCAACTCAATCTGGAAACATTAAAATTTTAGAATCACTCTTAAGATATGGTGGTGCCGATCCAAATGTTCAAACACCTGATGGCGCAACAAGTTTATTAATCGCTGCTCAAAATGGATTCATCAAAATTGTAGATCTTTTATATAAATACAGAGCCGATCCAAACATTCAAATGAAAACCGATGGTTCAACACCACTCTATGTTGCTGCAGTTAGACATCATTTAAACACTGTAGATGCACTTTTAGATAATCCAAAGGTCAATATAAATCAATCATTATCAGATGGTACAACCATTCTTCATGTTTTAGCCCAATTTGACTACACTGAACCAATGGAAAAAATATTTAAAAATTTCAAAACAATTCAAGTCGATAAAAAAACTGCTGCTGGAGTTACACCTTTATTATTAGCTGCTCGTCATGGTCAATTTAAGTCATGTAAAATTTTAATTGATAATGGTGCAGATTTAAATACAACTGTTGAAGGTGAAACTCCTTTATCTGTTGCAACAAGATATGGAAGAACTGACACTATCGATGTAATAAAAAATGCTTTAAATAATAAAAACAATAATAATTAACAGTAATAAAAAAATAAATAAATGTATATAATTCAAAAAAAAAAAAAAAAAAGCCCACACATATAATTTATGTGTGCTGAGATATATCTTTTTTAATTTTTATTTTTTTTTTTTAGAAATATAAAAAATAATAATTACATCATTCTTTTTTTAAAAATGAGAAATAAAAAACAATCAAAAATAATCTATATATGTATATATAAAGTTATTTTTATAGATAGTCACAGATCCCCGGTGTTGAAAGGGTTTTTAAATTATAATAAAAAAAAACAATTAATTAATGTGTCCGAAATTGATTTTATGCAGTCATCATGACGCAGCGCGCGACCAGTTACGAAGTACAAAAAAAAAAAAAAAAAAAAAAAACTATTTAGTTTTTGAAAAAAAAAAAAAATTTTATAATTTCTTAAATTTTTTTACATTTTATTTTTTTTTTTTTTTAATTTTTTTTTATTTTTTTTTCATTGTTGTGTTCATAACATTTTATTTGTAAGTTATAATGTTTTGTTTTTTTTTGTTTTTTTTTTGATTAAATTAAATTATAATTTGGGAAAACCTAAAATTACCTAAATAAAAAAATAAAAAAAAATAAAAAAATATAAAAAATATAAAATCAAATTAAATTAATTACAATTAAATTAAATATAATAATAGAATAAATAAATAAAATAAAATAAAATAAATAATTGGACACGACCGAATAAAATGATTGATCAAATTAAATAGTAATAAAAATAATATCAATGACCCGTTATTATAAAATCAATAAAATTATTTAATTGCTTTAAAAAATAATATTATAAAATAAAAAAAACAGTTATAGATAGTAAAAATAACAATAAATAAATAAAAATAATAAATAATAAAAAATACAAATATGTAAAAAAAATTTCCATACTAATTTTTTTTTATTTTTTTTATTTTTTTTTAATTTTTTTAAAAAAAAAAAAAAATTTACAACACACATTTTTTTTTTTTGTGTGAATTTCATTTCATTTATTTATTTACTCTCAGATTCTTTTTTTTTTTATTTTTTTTTTAATTGTAAGTTTAAATTAATTTATTAGAAATTAAAGTTTAAAGAATGATTACTAATACTTTCTTTAATCAAACATAGATTTATTAAAAAAAATTATTTAAAGAATGAACTCAATTACAAGAAAGGGTTTATCCCAAATCGTAAGTACAACAATTCGGTCTACAATTTTTTTTTAATTTTATAGATATAACATAATCGAATTATTATTTCAAACGAAAAGTAGTTGTGGTGTGCAAAGAAAGAAAAAAAGAAAAAAGAAATTTCGTAAAAAAAAAAAAATAAAAAAAAATTATTACAATTAAATTAAATACATTTTTTATACATACAAATTATCAAAGAAAAATAAAATTCAAATTATGTTATATCATAAAAGAAAAGAAAACGATCATTTAAAAATAATATAGTATTAGATTATTAATAATAACATTTTTTCAAATAATTAGAAATCCATTAGAAGTTTTAGTACTGCTTCAATGAGTCCATTAGAACCAAATAAAAAAATCAACTATGAAGGTATTGATGCTAAATTAAAACAATTCAAAACTCACCATAGTGCTCCACTCACTCTTGCTGAAAAGATTCTTTATGGTCATTTAGAAGATGCCAACACCAAAGTTGAAAGAGGTGTCACCTATCTTAAATTACATCCAGATCGTGTTGCTATGCAAGATGCTACCGCTCAAATGGCTGTTTTACAATTCATGTCAGCTGGTTTACCAGAAACTGCTGTCCCAACTACCATTCACTGTGATCATTTAATCGAAGCTTACAAAGGTGGTGAAACTGATTTAAAACATGCTAAAGATATCAACAAAGAAGTTTACAATTTCCTTTCAACAAGTGCCAAGAAATTCGGTATGGGTTTCTGGAAGCCAGGTAGTGGTATTATCCATCAAATCGTCCTCGAAAACTATGCTTTCCCAGGTGGTCTTATGATCGGTACTGATTCACACACTCCAAATGCTGGTGGTTTAGGTATGGTTGCTGTTGGTGTTGGTGGTGCTGATGCTGTCGATGTCATGGCTGGTATCCCATGGGAATTAAAAGCTCCAAAAATCATTGGTGTTAAATTATCTGGTTCATTAAAAGGTTGGTCATCACCAAAAGATGTTATCCTTCGTGTTGCTGATATTTTAACCGTCAAAGGTGGTACAGGTGCTATCGTCGAATATTTCGGTGAAGGTGTTGAATCACTCTCATGTACTGGTATGGCTACTATTTGTAATATGGGTGCTGAAATTGGTGCTACCACTTCATTATTCCCATTCAACAAACGTATGGTCGACTACTTAAATGCTACCGGTCGTAGCAACATTGCCAACTCTGCTATGAAATTCCAAAACAATTTAGTTGCTGATTCAGATGCCAAATACGATCAATTAATCGAAATCGATCTCAACACTTTAGAACCATACATTAACGGTCCATTCACCCCAGATCGTGGTCACCCACTCTCACAATTTGCCGAAGCCGTCAAAAAGAATAACTGGCCAGAAGAATTAAAAGTTGGTCTCATTGGTTCATGTACCAACTCTTCATACGAAGATATGAGTCGTTCAGCTTCAGTCGCCAGACAAGCTCTCGACAAAGGTGTCAAAGCCAAAGCTAAGTTCACCATTACCCCAGGTTCAGAACAAATTAGAGCCACCATTGAACGTGATGGTCAAATGAAAACTCTTGAAGAAGTTGGTGGTGTTGTTTTAGCCAACGCTTGTGGTCCATGTATTGGTCAATGGAAGAGAGAAGACGTTCCAAAAGGTGAAAAGAACTCAATTATTACTTCATACAATAGAAACTTTACTGGTCGTAACGATAGCAACGTTAACACTCACGCTTTCGTCGCTTCACCAGAAATCGTCACCGCTCTTACCATTGCTGGTGATCTTACCTTCAATCCAACCACTGATTTCTTAGTTGACAAAGATGGTAACAAATTCAAATTACAACCACCAACTGGTGATGAACTCCCATCAAGAGGTTTCGATGCTGGTGAAAACACTTATCAACCACCATCAAAAGACGGTTCATCAGTCGTTGTTGATGTTGACCCAAGCAGTGCTCGTCTTCAACTCTTAGAACCATTCAAACCATGGAACGGTAAAGATTACACAGATATGCAAGTTCTCATTAAAGTCCAAGGTAAATGTACCACCGATCACATTTCAATGGCTGGTCCATGGTTAAAATACAGAGGTCATTTAGATAACATTTCAAACAATATGTTAATTGGTGCCATCAATGCTGAAAACGGTAAAGCTAATGCTGTTCTCAATCAATTCACTGGTGAAGTTGCTCCAGTTCCAACCGTTGCTCGTGATTACAAGAAACGTGGTGTTGATTGGATCGTCATTGGTGATGAAAACTACGGTGAAGGTTCATCACGTGAACATGCTGCTCTTGAACCACGTCACTTAGGTGGTAAAGCTATTCTCGTCAAATCATTTGCTCGTATTCACGAAACCAATCTTAAGAAACAAGGTATCTTACCATTAACTTTCGCTAATCCAGCCGATTATGACCGTATCTCTGGTGATGACCGTATCTCAATCATTGGTCTCAAAGACCTTGCCCCAGGTAAACAACTTACTTTAGTCGTTAAATCAGCTAAAGAAGGTAAAGAATTCAAGATCCAAGTCAACCAAACCATGAATGAAGGTTAGTATTTAGTTTATATAGGAAAAAAAAATCACACAGGAAAGAAAATTAATTAATGTTTTTTATTTTTATTTTAACAGGTCAAATCGAATGGTTCAAAGCTGGTTCAGCCCTCAACTACATCAAAAAACAAAAGAAATAAATTTTAGCACACTTTTTTTAAAAAATTCAATAAAAACGTTTTAATAATAATAATAGTTTATAGAAACAATAAAAAGAAAAAGAAAAAAAAAAAGATTATATATTTTTAATAATAATAATACAAATAAAAAAAAAAAATTAAAAAATAAAATATAAAAAAAAATTAAAAAATATAAATGTGGGTTTATTTTTATTACTTTAGGGGAAATACATAAATGATAAAAAATGGGATTTTTAGGTTTTTTTTATTCTAATTTGATTTTTAAATTTAATATCACTACAATTAATAATACATTCACCGTCTGGTGTTTCTAATTGCCATCTAACCAATAATACAGTTGATCTCTCTTTTCTTGATGGAACTTTTATATTCATTTTATAAACATTTGATGAAGTACAAAACGGATTTGTATTGACTGATGGTTTAATGTTATAATGCTTGGCTACTAATTCCATGTCTTCCCATTTCATTTTATCTATTTCTTTATCATAATCTTTGGATAAATAAAATTCCCAATAAGAAGAAACATTTTTTTCAGGTACTGTTTTTTAAAAGTTTAAATTATTAAATATTTTATATTTTAAAAAATATTTGATTATATTATACATACATTTTGTAGCACAAAATTCAAAAGGAATAATTGTTGTATTGGTTTTCAAGTCATATTGAAACTCTGTAGCTGGCCAATTATATCTAAAAAATAAAAATTAATTAAAATTTTTTTAATGTAATAAAATTTAAAAATAGAGGGTAGTTACCTAATGGTAAAACCTTTTTTATTTCCAAGAGCAGAGTATTTGTCCATATTTGCAGCACAGCATAAATGTTCAGGTACTTTTTTTTTTAATTCTTCAAAACCTTTTTCTAATATAAAAAGTTAATAGTGTTTAAATCGATTAATATTATTATTATTACTTACTATAATATGGTATAAAAACTTTCATTTCATCACTTTTAATAAATTGTAATCTTGCAGCATTAGCTCCATCTTTAGAGTTATTAAATTTTTCAAAAACATGCCCATATGCAGCTTTACAATGGGGATCTATAATCCCACTTCCTATTTCATCCACCCATATATTGTTAATTGGATTTCTATTACACTATATAAAATATTAGTTCGTTTTCTATTTTTGATATAATATATTAAAACTTACTACTAACTGTCTAGAGGGAGGATAGGAGGTAAACCCATTAGAATTTACTGAAAAACTAAAAAACAGTAAAAAAAATATTATAATTAATTTCATTTTTAAAATTTAAAATTAAATTATAAAACAATAAAGATAAAAAAAAAAAAAAAAATTTAAATATAAAAAAATTAGATATAAAAATTAATATTATCTTTTATAGATATTTTTAGATATAGTTTTTTAAATTATTTTTTGATTATATATTATCTATTAACAAATTAAGAAATTTTTTTTATAAAATAAATCTAAAAATAAAATTATATATTGTTTTTACAACCTATTTATTTATTGAGTTTTGATTACATATAATAAAATTTATATAAATATTATTGATAATACTTTGTAATATTATTTAATTTTAATTTTTTTTGGATTTTTTAGATTTCTTTTCACCTTTTTTAAATATAATATCACTACAGTTAATGAAGCATTCACCAGCTGGATCATCTCTTTGCCATCTAACAACCAAAACAGATGATTTTCCTTCTCTATATGGAATACTGATAGTCATTTTATATGAGCTTGAGGAAATACAAATGGAGCTTGTTGTGGTGGAGGGAAGAACATTACCATATGTTGCTACAAGATCTAAATTATCCCAGCTTACTTCATCTTCTTCAACATTGAAATTATTCTTTGTTAAATAAAATTCCCAATATGAAGGATTGTGAATTGCTAAAAATAATTAATAATGTTAATACATAATATAAATTTTTATAAAATTATAATTTAAATAATATTTACCTGTAGCACAAAAATCAATTTCCAATGTACTCATATGGGTTTTACTATCATAGTCAACTTCAGTTGCATATCCATCCCAAGCAAATTTAATAGACATACCTGATTTATCCCCGAAGGCTGCATTTGGATTTATAGCATGGGCTGAACATATATGATTTGGAACTGCAGCTTTTAAAGCAGTGAAACCTTCATCAAAATTTGGAATCATTACTGCATATTCATTTTCTTGAGTAAATTGAATTACAGCTTCTGATTGTTTGTTGTTTTTTTCATAAACATGTTCATAAGCAGCTCTACATGGAGCATCTACAATTCCACTACCCTATAATTTATAAAAGTTAATACAAGTTTTTTAATTATAATATAGATTATAATATTTACATCTTCTGGCCACCAAACTGTAATAAAAAAAAAAAAAAAAAAATTAATATAATAATTTATATTTGTTTTTTTAAACTATAATATTTACTTGAGTTCTTTGGGTTACTTGTACATTTTCTTTGACGGGCTACAGGTGAAACAGTATATCCATGACTGTATACACTACATACACAATAAAATAAAATAGTAATTAAAAGTAATAGTTTCATATTTGTTTAAAAAATATAATTGAAATAATGAATAAAAAAAATTAAAGAATTTTTTATTTATAGTTTTTTTTTTTGATTATCATTTAAAAGAATTGGGAAAAGTGTAAATAACGTACCCACATATAATATGTAACTTGATAGATGTTGTTTAGTAGTAATATTGTTATTTTTATTATTAAAAAAGTGACCTTTAAAAAAAAAAGAGTAAAAAAATGTAAAAAAAAAAAAAAAGGTGGGGGTAATTTTTAATGAAAAAGTGTTTTTAATTCAAAATAATCTATTTATTTATTTTTTTAATTTGATTGGTTTGGTTTTTTTTTTAATTTTTCAAATAATATAAATATATGATCAAATTCTAATCAATCTTTCTAGTATCAAAACCTTTTAAACTACCCAAACCTCTCAAACTACCCAAACCTCTCAAAATATCAATTTATAACAATTAAACCATTATTTATGAAATTAATCACAAATTCAATCCATGATTGTAAAAAATATATTATAATATTTTTTTTTTTCTTATTTTAAGGTTTTATTTACCAAAAGATAAAAAGTTTTTTTTTTGGGGTTAAATGATATAAAATTTTATTGGTATTGTTACATTGAATATATACAAATAATATTTCTATATAGAAAGCCAGCTTTAAAAAATAATATTATAGAAGATAAAAAAAATTTCTTAAATATTTTTTGTCAGAATCAGAAAAAAAAAACAATCAAATATATTCTTTATTCACGTATCTTTTTCCTGTATAAATTTTTTGAACATATATTAATATAAAATTTATCTTGTTTTTTTATATTTTTGATAAATAAGAACATAGCTTAAAATAAAAATTAAATTTTGGCTCTTTTTCGAAAAATATAGTTGAACCAAAGATGAATCAACTTTCTTTTGAAAAAGCCCAAATGATTGGATAAACAAAATTAATGATACTATTGTTGGTGCGCTATGATAAAAAATTAAACCTAACCAGTGTTTTTTAGAATTACCATTGCCAATTATTTGTTTAATTGTTCTTTAAATAAAATTAATTTGTTTTTAAATTTAATTTAAAAAAAAAAAAAAAAAAAAAGTAAAAAATTAATTTTTTATTTTTTTATTTTTTTTTATTTTTTTTTTTAAAAAATTTTTTTTATTTTTTTTTTAAAATTTTTTTTTTTTGATTTTTTTCATTTATTTTGTATTATTTATTTTTTTTATTTATTTTCATTTAATTAATATAATATCACCTCAATAGAGATAATTCTTTTTATATTTATCAAAATCATTAAAAGAAATCCCTAAAAGGTGTTGTAATAATAATAAAATGTCAGACTCAAAATATTTTCAAACCACCAAAAAAGGTAAATTTTAAACATAAAAATACTTATTGTAAACTCAATCATAGCATATTTCAAAATATTGGATCGTTGGATAGTTGGAATTAATGGTTAAAAATGAATCAATAAATAAAAAAACTAATAAATATATATCTTTATAATAAATAATAGGTGAAATTCACGAATTAAAAGAAGAATTATTATCTCAAAGAGAAGATAAAAAGAAAGAAGCTGTTAAAAAAGTTATTGCAGCAATGACAGTTGGTAAAGATGTTAGTATGCTCTTTACTCATGTTCTCAATTGCATGCAAACCCACAATTTAGAATTAAAGAAATTAGTCTATCTCTACGTTATGAATTATGCAAAGAACCACCCAGATCGTGCTATTCTTGCAGTCAACACTTTCCAAAAAGATGCTTCTGATCCAAATCCATTAATTAGAGCTTTAGCAGTTAGAACTATGGGTTGTATTAGAGTTGATAACATTACCGAACATCTTTGTGAACCATTAAGACATGCTTTAAAGGTAAATATTAAAATAAAGTTAATGGCTATAATAATAATAATAATAATAATAATAATAATAATAATAATAATAATAATAATAATAATAATAATAATAATAATAATAATAGTTTATTAACATTTTTAATTTTTAAAATTTAGGATCAAGATCCATATGTTAGAAAAACTGCAGCAGTTTGTGTTGCTAAACTCTATGATGTTAATCCAGATTTAGTTGAAAATCAAGGATTTTTAAATATTTTAAATGATTTATTAGGTGATTCAAATCCAATGGTTGTAGCTAATGCAGTTGCATCATTAACAGAAATTGATGAAGTTAGTAAAAAAGAAGTATTTAGAATTCATTCAAATAATTTAAATAAATTATTAGCAGCATTAAATGAATGTACAGAATGGGGTCAAGTTTTCATTTTAAATTCATTATGCAAGTATACACCAAAAGATAGCCAAGAAGCTGAAAGTGTTTGTGAACGTGTTGCTCCTCGTCTTCAACATGCCAACTCAGCAGTCGTTTTATCTGCCGTTAAAGTTTTAATGAAATACATGAACTCTATTCAATCAAATGACGTCATTCGTTTATTATGCAAGAAAATGGCACCACCACTTGTCACTCTTCTTTCAAAAGAACCAGAAATTCAATTCCTTGGTCTTCGTAACATCAATTTAATTGTTCAAAAACGTCCAGAGATTCTTCAATATGAAATGAAAGTTTTCTTCTGTAAATATAACGATCCAATCTATGTTAAAATGGAAAAACTCGAAATTATGATCATGTTAGCCAACGAAAAGAACATTGAAGAGGTTCTTTTAGAATTTAAAGAATATGCCACCGAGGTCGATGTTGAATTTGTCAGAAAAGCTGTTCGTGCCATTGGTCGTTGTGCAATTAAAATCGATCGTGCCTCTGAACGTTGTATTCAAGTTTTACTCGATCTTATCCAAACTAAAGTTAATTATGTAGTTCAAGAAGCTATCATTGTCATCAAAGATATCTTTAGAAAATACCCAAACAAATACGAAGGTATCATTGCTACTCTTTGTGCTAATCTCGAATCACTTGACGAACCAGAAGCCAAGGCTTCAATGATTTGGATTATTGGTGAATACGCCGAACGTATTGACAATGCTCACGACCTCTTAAACTCTTTCTTAGAAGGTTTTAAAGATGAAAACAGTCAAGTTCAACTCCAACTTTTAACTGCCATCGTTAAACTTTTCCTTAAACGTCCAAAAGATGCCCAACAAATGGTTCAAACTGTTTTAAATCTTTCAACTCAAGAATCTGATAATCCAGATCTTCGTGATCGTGGTTTTGTTTATTGGAGACTTTTATCAACCGATTTTGAAGCTGCCAAAGCTGTTGTTCTCTCAGAAAAACCACTCATCACAGATACTACTAGCCATTTAGATGAATCATTATTAAATGAATTAATCTTAAACATTTCAACTCTTGCCTCTGTTTACCATAAACCACCAGAAACATTTGTTACCAAATTAAAGGGTGTCAAACGTGGTATGAGAAAGGAAGAAGATGACGATGAAGAACCAGATTATGTCGATGATGATAATATTCAAGGTGGTGGTCAACAACAACAAGCCTATCAACAACAACAAGGTGGCCAACAACAAGGTGGTCAACAACAACAACAACAAAGATCAGGTAACCTTATTGATCTTGATCTTTCAGATCTTGGTGGTGCTTTACCATCCTATGGTCAAAATAGTAATGGTTATGGTTCGCCACAACAACAATTTAATGGTAATCCAAATGATTTATCATTCCTTGGAGGTGGTAATCAAGGTCAAGCACAATCACCAATTAATAAAGTTGTTGTATTTGGTGGTGATAGATCACAATCAATTCAAATTAGTGGTGCCTTCACTAGATACAATGGTAGAATTAATTTAGAATTAAATCTTTTCAACACCTCCCCAAATGTTATGTCCAAATTCAAGATTCAATTCTATCAAAATTGTTTTGGAATTTCACCAGCCGAAGCTATTCTTACCTGTGGTGCTATTGAAGGTGGTCAAAATACTGATGTATCAATCCCAATTTCCTGCAACGGCCAACTCTTTAGTCCATTTAACCCAGTTATTGATATGGCTATGATGGTATTACCTTCACAAGAAAAATTCCTCTTCAAGATGAACTTCCCATTCCATTGCTTATTAACCGAAACTGGTCGTTTAGATCGTGAAAATTATCTTTCCATGTGGAAATCTATTCCCGAATCAAATGAACGTTCAGTAGAAATTCAAGTTCGTCTCCCACATGTCGATGTTGAATCAATTCTTCGTCGTCTCAACTCTAAAAATATTTTCGAAATCGTCAGAAAGAAAGCTCCAAACCAAGAAATCTCTTTCCTCTCTTGTAAAACCGAAAATTCAGTCTATATTTTAATCGAGTTAGCATTTAACAGTGCTCCAAATCAAAGAACTACTTGCAGATGTTCATCTAAAACAACCTCTCCAGATATTATTCAATTATTTGAACATAATTTAGATTTATTAATTAATAATCAAATTTAAATAAATACAATAGTAATAGTTAATTTTATATATTTTTAATTTTTTTTAAAACATCATTTTCTTTAGTTTTTTTATTTTTCATTATTATTTATCATTATTTTACATTACGCATTGTTTTATTTACAATATGTAAAATTAAATATTAATATTAATTTTTTTGTTGATTAATGTCAAATCTATAAAAGAAAAATTTGTATTTTCTTTCTTATTTTATATATGTTTAGATTAATTTTTAATTTAGCAAATTTTTTTATTTTTTATTGTAGAAGACGGTCAAGTTTGCACACAAATTTTGTTATTTCATTATGGAATTGGATTTTCTTCTTTGCACAGTAAGTTTTTAAAAAATTAAATACAATATAGCTTTTTTTTTTTTTTAATATAAGCAATAAAAAACTATATAAAATTTTTTTATTCAAAAATTTTAAATATAATAATATTTAATTTAATTATAATAATTTTAATTTGATTATAATAATATTTAATTATAATATTGAATCATTTTTTTTTTTTTTCTCCATATTAATTTAAAATATCAAAATTTTTTTCAACAATAGTTTTTTTTATTTTTTTTTTTATTTTTTTTTTTTTAAAAAATAATTATAATAGTTATAGATAAAAAGATATGCACAAAATAGAATATAATAACATCAAGTATATAGAAGAATTCAATGATTGTTTATTTTTTTCAATATGGAGAAATAAATATTTAAATAATTTAATTTTTTCTTTTTTAGTATTTTATAAAATTGCATTTTTTAATTCAAAACATACATTTAAAAGTTTAAAAAATTTTATTTATAGAGATTTTTTGACTAGGTTAACAATAAAAGAAGATAAAAATACACAAAATTCACTATATGGCCAAACAATGCCTTTCAATTTAATACCAAATTCTGTAATGGTGCTATATATAAAGAAGAAAATTTTAATGTCTAGCACCGATATTCCAGATTCAATAAAAATTTTAAATTTTGATAAAAATTTTACCTCTATCTCCTCAACATTGTTTTTAAATACAAATATTGTTAAATTAACATTTGGTAGGAGTGTTAAAATTGCAAAAGGAACTTATTTACCAAAGTGCTTAGAGATTTTACATTTAAATCATAAAGATCAATGCCATTTATTATCAAGTGTTCCTTTACCAGAATCACTTCATACTTTAATTCTTGGAGACTGTACAGAGAATATAAATATTCCCAAAACAATAAATTTTTTAGTTTTTGTAAAAAAATTTAAAAGAAACTTACCCAAAATTCCAATTAATGTATCCAAACTTAAAATTACAGATAATTATAAAAAACCTATAACTAAATCCATGTTACCATTACTTTTAGAAGTTTTTCAAATAGGAGATGCTATTATCAATATTGAAGAGTTTAGAAGATATAATTAAGAACAGATATTCTTTTTCTTAGTTTCTTTATAAAATATTTTAAATAAAATAAATATATAAATTTATATTTTAATATAACTTTAAAAAAGTTTGTAAGTCTAACAAATTTTATTTTATATAATTTATAAAATTTTTTTTTAGAGAATACCATTTTTTTCATTTTTTTTTCATTTTTTTTTTAAAAAATTTTAAAATTATTATCATTATTAATAATTATCAACAACTTTATAAAATGAATACTATCAATAAAAGAAAAGCAATCAATAACTTATATCAAAGTCGATGAAAAATTGTAACTGAAGAACTCTTTTTGGTCAATAGTGATACGTATACACGACTTGAAAATACACATTATGGAATATCAATAGAAGAGGTTATTAGTTTGTTTTTCAATAAAAAATTTGTAAATAGCTTTTTGGAGCTTATAAATCTCAATTTAGGTAAAATCAACTCAGAAAAAGAAGACATTTATAAAAGAGAAGTTGAATGAGGTTCCAAAAAGTATAAATTCAAGCCTATTTCAAAGATTACCAAAGAAGAGCTTTTTGAATATTGGTCTATTACCATTAATGTTAGATTTGGGTGTTTTTAAAACAATTATAAATCAAAGTAATAAAAAAATGAAAGATAGATTCTATTTGGTACAATCAACAACCAAATTTACAGATGATCAAATTAAAAGAATTGCAGGTGAAAGGAGTGATATTAGTTTTGATTTGGTAGAAGGAATTAAAGTTTGCACCCTTGATGAAACAATATATATATAGATTTAAGATGCAGACTCAAAGAGAAATATATTCATAATAATAATAAATCTCCAGTTATGTATTTAACTCGTAAACCTCATACAAATGGTCTTTTAAACTATATGGTTGGAACCTTTTTAGAATGTATTCATCATTTGTCATCCCCTAAAAAAAGCACCGTATCACAATCTAAAAGAGGGTCTGTTAAAGAATTTAAATATCCATATATTATAGAGTTTTTAAACAAGTTAGATAATGAAATTCATCCCTCAAGTAGTGTTAATCACGTGAAGTAGGAAGGTATAAAGATCTTAAATTTCATTTAGTTGGTGATAGTGCATTTTTTTCCAAAGATAATTTAAATCATATTGTAAATAAAGCTTGGTTGGCAACAATTTCAGATTTCTCAAGTAGCAAACTTAAAACATTGCTCAAAGATACATTAAAATATGATAAGAGTTGGATTGAAATTGAACTTGATGGTTATTATAAAGTCTGTAAAATTGATAAAAGAGAAAGTTCCTACATTTAAATCAATTGCAACAATTGGTTTTAAAATTCAAAATCGTGAAGGTAACCCAAGCAAAGGTTCTAAAAATTGACCCGAACTTAGAAACCCCTTTTTTCAAAAAATAAACTAAATTTTATTCCCTATAATTTAATAATTTTTTACCTTTATCAAAAATATAATGAAAATAAAATAAAAATAAAAAAAACAAATTAAAATTAAAAAAATTAAATAAAAAAAATATCTAAACATCAGATGGAAAAAGATTAAAATTTTATAATTAAAATTTTTTTTATTTTAAAATAACTGACACATTTATTAATTTAAAAATACTCCACAGATTGATTTCTAAAATCATAATCCTTGTTTCAATATATACTTGAACTAACCCTCTTTATTCACCTCTTATAACACTACTTGACCAATTACTTGAACCACAGCTTACTAAGATCTTGCCACCATTTGAACCACATTTGATTTTGCTTTATGCTATTTAATATATATACCATCATTGGAACTAATCACATTTATTACTTAAAATACCACTTGACCAAATATTTGAAGGCACATCTAACCAATACTTTAATCCACATTTGAACCACAACTTGAATATGCTTTATGCTTTTTAATATATACCATGGGAACTAATAACATCTATTCATTGCTTAAAACCCCATTTGACTAAATACTTGAACCCCAACTTATGCTTTTTATTTACCATCTTTTAATTTGTTTAAATATTTGCAGGACTGATATTTTAATTGAATGGAATATCCTCTACAATTATATTACTTTAAGGTTTGGTAAACCTACCCAATATTGTGTGTGAATATTATTAGTTTGAAATATATTTTTAATTATTAAAAATTATTTAAATTTAAAAATTTAATTTTTATTGTCATTATAATTTTTTTTTTTTTTTTTTTTTTTTTTTTTTTCTATATATTTTAAATTACTGTTATTAAATTTATATTAAATTTATTGCGGGTTAATGTGAGTGGGGTATTTGTGAATTTATTTTAATTGGATGATATTGATAATAAAATGAAAAAAAAAAAAAAAAAAAAAAAATAAATATAAAAAAAATAATTTGGAGGCAACAAATTTTAATATTAAAAAGCTTTATTATAATATTATTTTGAATAGATTTTAAGACTTTTTTATTTAGTTGTAAATAAAAATTTATTTGAAGGATATTCCTAAATACGGTTTTTAAATTTAATATTCGATCCTTTTTTCGAATAACATGTTAGATATCTCGGATTCTAACATGTTATTAATAATATAATTATTAATAACATTGTATAAATTTATTAATTTTTAATTTTTTAAAAATTTAAAAAAATTAATTATTTTAAAATTAATTTTTTTTTAAAAATTTTTTAAATTAATTTTTTAATTTTTAATTTTTAATTTCATTTTTTTTTGAAAACCGGTACGGTTCAGAGCTTTAATAAATATAATTTGGAGGTATTCCTGCATCAAGTTGATCTATGTCACACCATAGTTTTTTAAATTTGTTTTTAATTTGATGAACATAGTTTTAATTTTTTTATCTATAAAAGCTATTGATAAATGAGTCATATTTCTCTATAAATTTTGGGATCAACATTATTTGATACCTGACCACTATATATTAGATAGTCTTTTGATACATGTACTATTTATTTGAACAGTGGTTATTATGACTATTATGATTACTATATATATGATGTTTGGTTCTAAGTTTTATATTATTATTTTTTTTTTTTTTTTTTTTATTTTTTTTTTCTTTTTTTAATTTTCTTTTTTTAGACATATTTTTTCATTTTTTTCCATAATTCTGAAATATGTAAAAAAATAAAATTGCCTAAAAAAGAATGAAGTGTTATTGGTGGTTTTGGGGGACAATCTACCCATGTTCCAAAATTTCCCCCTTCTGATGGTGCACCTATAAAATGGTATCTGAATTCTGGTGCAAATAATTTTGGATAAGTAGATGAGGCTATGCGAGCATTTGATTGTTGTGTTGGTTGTGGGGTAGGAATCGGAGTTTGAGTTTGAGTTGGATTTGTAATTGTAATTGAATTTGGAATGGAGCTTTTGATATTGGTGTTACAGTATTATTGGTGTTGGAGTGAGGATGAATTAGTTGATGGTGCGCCAAATGGTGTAGATGAAGTTTATGGTGCGCCAAATGGTGATGGTGTAGTTGTTGATGGTGCGCCAAATAGTGATGGTGTAGATGAAATTGATGGTGCGCCAAATGGATGTTTTTTAGTTGTCAATGGTGCGCCAAATGGTGATGTTGTAGTTGTCGATGGTGGGCTAAATGATGATCCTAAAACTTCTCTTAGACGATTGTTTTCATCATTTAGTTGGTTAATTTGGGATGAAAATTTTTGATGAATGTCTTGCTTTTCTTTTTCATGTAGTTTCTTCAATGATTCCAGTTCTTCTTTTAGTTGATCGATGTCATTTTCATATTGGGAGTTGTTTTGAAGAGGATTATTTAATGATTCTAATTGATGTTTTAGTTTATTATTTTCTTCATTCAATTGGTTAATTTCTTCAGTTCTTTTGTCTTTAAGTGATTCTAATTCTTCTTTTAATTGTTTAATTTGATTTTCATATTCAGCTTTTTCGTATTGTTCATTTTGATCGTTATTATAAAGAGAGTCTTGTTGATCTAATATTTCTTTATTATCAAGATTTAATAATTTTTCAATTTGATTTAATAATTCCTCTTTATCTCTATCTTTTTGTTTTAATGATTCTAATTGTTCTTTTAATTGATTGTTTTCATTATTTAGCTGATTAATTTGATCTTGGTTATTAGATTGAGCCAATTGTTCTTTTAATATTTCTAACTGATCTATTAATTCTTTATTTTGTTCATTTAATTTATTAATTTGGTTAATAAGCTGATCAGTATCAATATCATTTTTAGTTTGATTCATTTGCTCTTTTTCTTG